AGAAGAAAGAAAAAAAAAAAGAAAAAAGGAAGGGAGGAGAAAAAAGAGAAGAAGAAAGAAAGGAGGGGGAAAAAAAAAACAAAAAAAAAAACAGGGGGGGGGGGGGGGGTGGTTCCCTCCTGGATGACGATTCTAGCTCTTCCCTCCACACGACAAGGCCACTTCGAGTGTGTGTATAGAAGTGCTCAATGAGAGGGGAGATCAGAGACTGAGCGGGTTGCAGGGGTTATTCAAGAGCAGTCACCGCCAGGATCTTGAGCAGCTTGGAGTCTGCGACGACCGCCTGCACAAGGCAGCGTCGGCCAGTGGGGTGGGTGGTGGGCAGCGGTCGGCGGTGTGCGGGCTCGTGATGGTGGGAGGCGCGGAAGAGGGCTTCTGCGAGTGAGGCGGCGACGGCGTGGCGCGGCCAGGGCGGTGAGGGCTGCACGTAGCGCCAAGTGCAGGACGGGCGGCGCGTGCGCCTTGCAGCCGGACTGGTTGATGCCGTACTCGGCGCCCTCGGCGCCGAGCGTCGCGTAGATCGTCCCAACGACGTACCCCTGCCGCCAGCAGGCGTACGCAGCGAGCATCCAGTCGCGCTGCGTGTCTGCGTAGATGACCACCGTGTCGTTCGCCTTTAGGCCGGGGATGGCCTCGGCGAGGCCGGCGCCGAGCGAGTCGGCCGTCTTGAAGTACTCGGAGTAGGTCATCCACTCGTAGTTGGGCGCCATGCGCAGCTTTTCGAAGCCCCCCTCGGGCACGACTTCGAGAATCTTGCGCACGCCCGCACACTGGAGGGGACCGTGCGTCGCTGCCGAGGCGACGAGCGTCTCCCAAAGGTTTTTGTGCCCGCCGAAGCAATCAGAGAAGGCGCCGACCTGCGAGATTTGGGCGGGCTGTGGCGCGAGGTGCCCGGAAACAAAGGTCCGGCAACAAAATGTGTGCTGGTGCCGATGGCCGCGGCGGGGCTGGCGGCACTGGGGGAGGCGGGCTCAGCAGTGGTGGCGAGCCTGGTTGGCGTTCCACAGGACGCCATTCTCGTCCACCTTGCCGGCCATATGAGAGGAAGGGAAAAGGGTGCTTGCGAGGGACGCGGCTGTCAAGGCGAAGAGCGCCGATGCGAGCACCTCGATTGAGGTCTATTTTTCTTTTTTAGTACTCAGGCCCCAACACCGCCGCCGCCGCCCTCCCGAGGCCAGATAATAGCCCAAGTCGAAGAGTGCGCGCCGGCCTCGACATCTCGGCGGCAGAGGCGTCCCAAGCGACGCACCAGAGCACGGCTGGGCGTGTGAGCAGCCGTGTAGCGTGTTTGACTGTGAGGCGAATATTTGTCATCGGGAGCGCGCCTCCGACTCTGCACCGGGCCGCCGCCGCCCTCCCGAGGACAGGAGATAATTACGGCCGCCTCGTCGTCGAGCTCGGCGGAGACGCTGGTCGCCTCGCGTTTGAACCCCTCGAGCTGCTGGAGCGGCGTCGCACTCGTCGAGCGTAACAGCAGTCCGCCCTCGGATGACTTGTTGAGCGCGCCGTAAGCGCCCGTAAGGCACGCGGCAGCCGTCAGGGAGCGCGATATCGGTCAGCTGGTGCCGTCGCGTGGGCACGGTGCGAGGAACGACATGCTGTGGCAACGACGAGAGCTGTGCCTCGAAGACGCGCGCGGAGGGGAGAGAGAAACGACCAAACCCACCCCAATCCACCCACCCACCCACCCACCCCACCCACCACCCACCCACCACCCACCCACCCACCCACTCACCATCCGCGCGGATCCGGGGCCTACGAAGCGTTTACGCAAAGTTTACCCCCCACCCACCCACTTTTTCAAGAACGGCGGTGCCGAGAGGCACGTGGTGTGAGAAAAAAGAAACGCAGATTGGGCGCCCGTTTTTCTTTTTTGAGTAGACGCCCCCACCTCAGCCGTCGGCGCAGAAACGGTCCACCAGCTCTACAAACGTGGCCGGCGCCTCCGAGTGCACAAAGTGGCCGGTGGCCACCATCTCGAGGCGCGCGTTGGGGAAGAGGGCCTCGCACGCAGGAAGGTGCTTCGGCTGGAGCATGCCGCCGTTCGCGCCCCCGATGAAGAGCGCCGGCATCTCGGCCCTCGACCCGGCGGGCGCGGGGAAGCCGCGCAGCGCCTCGTAGCTCCCGAGCAGCGCGCGCAAGTTCAGGCGCCAGCTGCGCGTTTCGGGCTGCAGGCTCTGCAGCAGGAAGCCACGCACGAAGGGGTTGCCGAGCCCGCCCCCTCCCTGCGCGATGGCTGTCTCGCTCGCCGCGAGCGCCGAATCCACCTCCTTTCGGTCGCCGAGCGCCGTCTCGGGCACGGCGAGCAGCGCCTCGATGATGGCCCGGTTTGCCTCCATCTCGTATCGGACCGGCGCGATGTCGGCGACGCACAGGCGCGCGACGAGGTCGGGCCGCTGCAGCGCCGTCAGCATGGCCACCTTGCCGCCGAGCGAGTGGCCGCACAGGCTCACAGGTCGCCCGATCGACTCGAGGACGCCCTCCATGTCGGCACGCATGGCCTCAAACGAGGCGTCGTCGTGCCACGGGCTGCCGCCGTGGTTGCGCAGGTCGACGAGCACCACCTCGCGCCGCGCCGCAAGCTTCCGCCCGACCGTCGCAAAATTGTTTCCCATCCCAAAGATGCCGTGCACGAGCACGAGCGGCGGCTCCGCCGCACCGGCGGGACCAGGCAGGTGCCTGCGTTTCAACTCGATGGGCGTGACCGACGTCAGGCGGCGTGCCTGGCGCCGCGCGGGGGCTCGCGCCGCCATCGCGACGCGGCGCAGCATGTGCATGGCACAGGACGGACCGCTGCCGACTGCGGGTCGTCGTCGGCGTCGGATATTTCTTTATTCACGAGTCTGCCGTAAAAAATTGTTTTGATTAAATGCTTTATTATCCTCACCTTCTCTTCTCACTCTCACTCACTTACCACCACCCCTCCATTTCCTCATCATCACACCTCCACCTCCTCACCTCACACATCCTCTTCCTCTCACCATCACACCTCCACCTCCTTACCCTCTTATTTTTCATGAAAATTCACCTCAGACGTACATATACTGCCGCTCGGCGGGCTCTATCAGACTTCCCTATAGTCTAGTTGGTTAGGATATTCGGCTCTCACCCGAAAGACCAGGGTTCGAGTCCCTGTGGGGAAATCCTATTTTTGTTGCGATGTCGCTACTTATTGCGACATCTCAGCACTTGCCTCGTTGCTCGCTCCCGGAAGAGTCCTCCTCCGACCAAGACTCATGCGGCTCCGGCTCTACTAGCGCGGCGAATGACATTTTCGACACCCTCGACGTACGACGACCATCTCGGCTACTCGAGTACGGTTCCGACTCCGGCTTCGGCTGGTAGTCGACAAGCTGCCGAGCCCAAATCACTGTCAGTGCCAGATTTCTTGTTGGCTCCTAAAAATCTCTGATCGCGCGCGCGCCAGCCCTCACGCCCCCTTTTCCGCCGCCAGCCGCTCCGGCTCTACCGCTGTACCGCTGCCCGCCTGCGTCCGCCTTCTCCCAATCTTCTCCAACGTCCTGCAGGCGCCTCTCTCTGAGCCCTGGTCTGACAGCCTGACAGCAAACCCCGGACAGCGCCTGACAGTGCCCGACAGCCTGACAGCGTTGACAGCACTTCTCTGCTAACAGCACGTATCTGACAGCCTGACAGCAGAGTCTGACATCAGAGGGGCTCCGTCGCTGTCAGGCCCTAACGAGTAACGTGACAGCCTGACAGCTGCCCGACAGCCCGACAGCACACAGTGGTCTGACAGCAGCGCTGACAGCCCGACAGCCCGACCAGCCCGACAGCAGCACAGACCGTACACAGGCCGTGCAGCCTCTTTCTTCTGCCCCATGAGGGTATAACAAAACTATTACACGCAAAGACATGTAGTCATGCTCATGGGATGGTCATGGGTCTCTCCTAGGGTCTCTGTCTCAACCCTCCCGCCCCACCTCTGCGGAGCAGCGCAGCAACGGGGTCTTCATCAACGACCCCGAGGGCCTCTTTATCCTCCGGTGGTACCGTGAGGTGAAAAGGGTGACGGGACCCCCCCAGACGGCCCGCGCTACCAGAACAGAGCGTGCAAGTACTACAAGCTGACGAGCGACAACGATGGGGAGGCCTTCCGCTGGGCAAGCAACTACCAGATCATCAGCAAGGTGTACCTGAAGAAGCACTCCAGCCTGCCTCTCTGCTATTCTCTCAGTGCGGCAGACAAGAAGATGGTGACGTCCACCATGAAGAAGATGGTGGGACCGGAGGCAGAGTAGAGACTTAGAGTATGTGTGCAGTAGAGTCCTGCTGGTCTCCTCTTGATAGTGTCATAAGTGTGGCTGGTGTGTGTCAGAGCCTGACAGCACCCCGACAGCACCACCTGACAGCACCTGACAGCAACAGCCCAACGTCTGACAGCAGCAGCAGCCTGACAGAGCTCTGACAGCTCCGACAGCGTCTGACAGCAACACCCGACAGCTCCGACAGCACCCGACAGCTACAGAGCCCCTCTGATGTCAGACACGCACCCGACAGCACCTGACAGCACTGACAGCACCCGACAGCTGGTCTGACAGAGGCACCTGACAGTGCCTGACAGCTGCCCGACAGCCCGACAGATCACCTGACAGCACCTGACAGCCTGACAGCCAGGGCTCAGGCCTCTCTTCTGTGCAGGACTAGGAGGCGCCGAAGCCGCCCGTCTCTCCTCCTCAGCGCCGTGCCGCCGCACCGCATCTCGACGACTTGCTCGTGTCCGTTCGTGCTAGCGGGCGACTCGCCGAGCGGGTGCGCCCGTCGGCGCGTCGCTCACTCGCCTGTGTTGTTTATGCTTTTTGATGGTGTCTTCGCGCCGGGGGCGAGCGCAGAAGAAGGTGCAGAACCAAGGTCGAAGGTGGCGCGCTGGACACTTAATACTGAATTCGTGGACGCCTGTGCTACTCTGAACCCTCGTGCCTGTGTCCGGTCCTTTCTCGCTGGTTCTCTACACTCTGTTTATAGAGCCGCCCTCTCCGGCTCTGCGCACTGCGGGGCGGCTGCGCCGCTTCGGCACTGCGGCTGCGCCGCTTCGCGCGCGGGCCGCGCAAACGTCGCACGCAACTTCAGAAGATCAGAACAGCCGAACGGGGGCACGAGCGCTTGCATGATGGGACCACTCCTCAGACGTACATGTACCACTGCTGGTCTCCTCTTGATAGTGTCATAAGTTCGAGTCCCTGTGGGGAAATCCTTTTCTTGCGCTCTGTGCAGCCTTTTTGCTTTTCTTGCGCTCTGTGCAGGCTTTTTGCTTTTCTTGCGCTCTGTGGAGCCTTTTTGCTTTGTGAGCGTGCGCGTGCGCGCCTCTTCACGCTCTTTTCCGCCGCCAGCCGCTCCGCCTCTACCGCTCTTCTCCAACGTCCTGCCGGCGCCTCTTCTGTGCAGGACTAGGAGGCGCCGAAGCCGCCCGTCTCTCCTCCTCAGTGTAACCTCAGCGCCGTGCCCGCAGCGGCATCTCGACGACTTGCTCGTGTCCGTTCGTGCTAGCGGCGACTCGCCGTCGCTCTCGCCCGTTTGGGTTAAATGCTTTAATCATTAAGGTGGTTCTTGAGAGTTGTGAACGAGGCCGCTTCATTCAAAGTCATGATTGATGATTGCGGCCGCCCGAGCGGCGCTTCAGCCAGCCCTCACGGCCCGGGCATGCACCCGCACACCCTCCTCTCGCGCATGCGGCATGCCGATGCGCTCAGTCGATGCGGTCGTGGTGCTGCAACTCTGCAGCGCTGCGACCGCACCGGTCTCCCGCGTCGCTGCCGTCGGTCGTGCCGCTCCCGCCAGCTCCGCAGCTCGCCGACGCCGGGTGGTACGCGCGCTCTCCGGATCCCGTCCGAGGGGCGGAGGCTCGAGCGTTGGTCCCGGCCGAGCGCGAGCCGCCAGACTCGAAGACGGCACACCCCTAACCGCGTCCCCATCCTTAGCTTCTGTTCTTTCCTCCCCGTGAGCCGTCTACTCTGTCGCGAGACCGCCGAGTGTGTGCCCTCGTGAGTCCGTCGGGTACTTTTCGCGTATAAAAATCGGCTGCGCGGGTGTTCCATCTGATGCTACCAACGGCCTGGCGGCCTCGGATCCGGCCTCGCAGCTCGACGCGAGCGCCAAGGTGGACCTGTCTCCGGCCTCTCGCGCCCCTCTCGGAGCCGTGAGAGGGTGCAGGCCGAAACCACAGCCGCTAACGTCCGTGTGGCCGAACGGGACCAAACTTTCGCCGCCGGGTCCCGGGCCCCACGGGTAATGGGACCGATCCCGCAGAGCGCAGTTTCCCCGGAGGCCAATGAAAAGATTTTTACAACGTGTTAGTGCCAGTGCGCGCCAGTCCCGTGCCCAGTGTTGTGCGAGAAAAGAATTTTACAACGCAACTCGCTCTTTGTCCGAAAAAGAATTTAATGCGGATTCTCGCAATGAATTGTTGGTTAATAAAAATCTCTCCCAATCCCCTCGCGCAGCAGCACTGGGCACGGGGGGCGCGCGGTATGTGTGGACGCAAGACAGATTATTGATGACGACACGCTCGAGCGGCACACAGACACAAACTCAAACAAGCTCACAAGACACACGCGTAGTGAGAGCGATGCCGATGGGGGAAATCGGAATCAGAATATTCGAAGAGGAATCATAGGAATAGGATTGTGTGAGAAGGCCGCCACATTTCGTTGTCGACGGGCTTCGACGGGCACCCCCCCCGGAAATGGCGGCCTTGCGACAGCCACCTCTTCTCATGATCTTCGCGAGCATCTTGGCCGCGGCGACCGTTCCGCCGCAGCCGCAGCCACTTCCGCCGCAGCCGGAGCCACTGCCGCCGCCCCCGACGCTTCCGCCGCTTCCACCGCAGTCGACGCCTCCGCCACCGCCGCCGCCGTCGTTGCCGCCGCCTCCACCCCCTCCGCCGCCCCCTTCGCCGCCAATCGCCCCCGGCTTTGTCGCCGCCGCGGAGCCACTGCCGCCGCAGCCGGAGCCACTGCCGCCGCAGCCGGAGCCACTGCCGCCGCAGCCGGAGCCACTGCCACCGCAGCCGGAGCCACTGCCGCCGCAGCCGGAGCCACTGCCGCCGCAGCCGGAGCCACTGCCACCGCAGCCGGAGCCACTGCCGCCGCAGTCGGAGCCACTGCCACCGTCGCCGCCTCCTCCCTCCGCCTCGCCGTCGCCGCCGCCTCCCTCCGCCTCGCCGTCGCCGCTGCAACCGGTCTTTGAGGCTTTGGAGGAGTTCACGCTCGACGGCAGCACGTGCTACTACGCGAGCGAGGGATCGTCTGCCGCGCTGCCCACGGGCACTGAACCGTATGCCATCGAGGCGGACATCAAGCCGGCCAGCGCCGCCTGCTCCAACAATGGCGGGATCGTCGGCTGGGGCAATTACGGCACCGCCAACTCTGTCAATGCTTTCCGCCTCGATGATGGGTGCCAGCGCATCAAAAACTACTGGTGGAGCGCCGACCTGCGGTCGAGCGCCAGCAGTGCTCTCCTCGACGGCAGCTGGCACCACGTCACCGCCGAGTTTGACGGCACGACGCGGAAGCTCTCCATTGATGGCGTCACCGTCGCGACCGACACGACGACGGGCGGCGCCGCGGCGTCCAACGTCAACTTTTGCGTCGGGAAGACGTACGGCAACGAGTACTTCACCGGATCGATGAAGGGTGTTCGGATCTGGAACGTTGTGTCGCCGTCGCCACCCTTTTCGCCGCCGCCGCCGCCTCTGTCACCGCCACCGCCTCTGCCGCCGCTCTTGACCGGCTTTGTCGCCGCGGAGAGCGAGGCCGAGCTCCGCAACCTGATCGAGGAGGCTGCTATATCGCAAGCCGACGTCTCAATCTACCTGCCGCCCAGTGCGGACTTCAAGCTGGGCAGCCAGATCAGCTGCGCCTCCACCATCAAGGTGACCGTCGCGAGCAGCGGCGAGGGCGCGACGCTCGACGGCCAGGAACAGACCGGGCTCTTTTCCCTCGTGGGCGGCTGCAGCCTCACCCTGCGGGGGCTGACCCTCGTCAACGGGAGGGCGAACGACGGCGGCGTTGTGTACGCTAACCAGGCAGGCGACGTCGAGATCATCGACTCGACGGTCAGAGACTGCTCTGCTGTCTATGTGCGCCGCGTAGAGCGAGCAGCACTCCAGCAGCGCCGCACGGCAGCGGGGCGAGAGATAGAGGGCCACGGCTGCCTCACCCCGCTCTCTCCTCGCAACCGCAGAACGGTGGCGTCGTCTACGCGTATCGGAACCGCGCTGCGGTCTCGATAATCGGCTCGACCGTGACGAGCTGCTCGGCTGGCGCGGTGCGCCGCGTGGAGCTAGCCGCACCCCTGCAGCGCCGCACGGCGGCGGGGCGAGAGATGGAGAGGGCCACGGCTGCCTCACCCCGCTCTCTCCTCACAACCGCAGCACGGCGGCGTCGTCTACGCGCAAAACAGGGGTGCGGTCTCGATAATCGGCTCGACCATGACGGGCTGCTCGGCTGTCGGGGTGCGCCGCGTAGAGCTAGCCGCACTCCAGCAGCGACGCACGGTAGCGGAGCGAGAGATAGAGAGGGGGCCACGGCTGCCTCACCCGCTCTCTCCTCGCAACCGCAGTCCCCGGGACACAGTCGCGGTGGCGTCGTCTACGCGTTGTACAGCATCTCCCTCTCCATTGCGGGTGTCGACTTCATCGACAACAGAGCGGCCTACTCAGCCTCGGTGCTTCACCTGGAAAGCTCGCCCTCCTCGATCAGCGACGCCTCCTTCACCGGCAACGACGGTGTCACGATACGGACCCTGAACGCGGAGATAGACTGGGACTGCCGCTTGGGCAGCTGTGCCTCTGGTGGTGCAACCTCCTGCCGGCTCGCCACCTCGCTCTCCGCCTCGCCCTCCTCCTCGCCCTCCTCCGCCCCAGCCATCTCTGCCCCACTTCTCCGCCGCGCCGGCAGCCTCCGCCCCGGCTGCCTCAGCCGCCCCGGCTGCCTCCACCTCCTCGCCGCCGCCGCTCTCCGGTGAGGCGTTTGCCTTCGGTGGCGGCTTCCCCGCCGCCGCCCCCCGCCGCCTGGCGGCAAGCGGCCGGCCCTCCTCCGAGTCGGAGCCGGCGCCTCCCTCTGCGCCGCCCGCACCTCCCTCGCCCCTCCCTCCCTCGCCAGCCTGCTGCGGGTCGCCTCGCGCGCGCTTCGGTGCGCGCGCGGCGAGGGGCCGCCCCTCCTCCTCGTCCAGACGACTTCGTTGCGCACCCTGAGGTGGGAGGGGGGGCTGGAGGGGGCGGTGGAGGGCGGGGGCGGGGACGCACCGCAGCTCTCCCCCCGCATCCTTCTTCAGAACCGTCTTCCGTCCTTACTCGACACTCTTGTGCCCCGAACTTTCCTCCCCCCGTCCCGAGCACGACCAGAGCTGCTCCGGCGTGGTTCGGAGCGAGGTACGGGTGGCGGCGGGTTCGAGTAAGCTGCGGGGAAAATGCGGGATCGGCGCCATTTCATAGGTGCTCCAACGCCCTAGCCGGCTCGGGAGTACTGTCCTTCCCGTTATATACGCACCCGCTCACACTTTTAGGCTCTCCGGCGGCCTCAGGGGCCTTGCCGAGGGCTGCTTCAGCGCGGTCACAGTGCCGTGGAGCCGGCCAGCGTGCTCGCAGCCATACCGCTGGTGGACCATGCCCGCCTCCCGCCCGGTGGCTCCAACCACAGCCCGCCTCACCGTCGGCGAAGCACCTCGGGCCCTTCGCGGCTGCGTCGTCTGTCCGGCTCCACGAGGCCTTTCCGAGACACTTCCGCGCGGGCCGAGGGACTCAACGGCCCCTCACATCCCGGAGGGACGGCGGACGAGCCGGCCAGTGCGGGGGCGGATCAGTCCCATATAGGAGCGGGCCCAGCCGCGCGGAGAAGACCACCGAGCTCGAAACACGTCGCCGCGGCCGGCCGTTTCGCAAGCCTGAGCGGGTCGCCAGACACCCGCGAGAGCCAGCAGCTAGAGCGCCGTCGTAGCCGCAGATCGAGTCGAGGAGCTTGATGTCCACGGTAGCAGCTGTGGAGAGCGGTGGTGCGGTGCATGTAGAGGGGTCGATCGAGGGCTCCCTTTCGAAACGCGACGGGTACGACTTGACAACTGCCAGCACAGTTTTACGCCGGCCAGCGTGAGAGCTAAACGGGGAGCCGGTGACCCGTACGCTTTGCGCGTGGCGACCGGTGGCTGTCTGGAGCTCGTGCGAGCTGGTCCGACGCGTGGCCGAGCCGAGAGGACCAGCGAGCGACCACATTGGCGATGAAGCTTGGCGGCCGGCGCCTCATCGCCAGACGTCACAGCGGCGTGGACGCAGGAGTGTGCGGCGACGGGTACCGCAAAATCCGGCCCGGTGTGGCCGGCAGCTGCTTAGTGCTGGCCTGTGGTCGGCGCCGCGGTGGCGGAAGAGGCGTCTTGCCGTCGTGGCGGCGGTCGGCAGGTGCGAGCGTGATGGCCATCGTGTGGCGGAAAATTTTTTTACCCTTTTTTATGGTGGCTTCGCGCCGGGGGGCGGCGCAGAAAAGGTGTGACCAAGGTGGTGCGCTGGACACTGAATACTGAATTCGGACGCCTGTGCTACTCTCGTGCCTGTCCGGTCCTTTCTCTGGTCCTCTACAGTCTGTTTATAGAGCCGCCCTCTCCGGCTCTGCGCACTGCGGCTGCGCCGCTTCGCGCGCGGGCGGCCGCGCAAATGTCGCACGCAACTTCAGAACAGCCGAACGGGGGCACGAGCGCTTGCATGATGGGACCACTCGAAGAGCGGCAGAACCCCTGCGGCGTCACCGTTTTGCGCCCCCGTCGTTTTCGCGTCAGTCCTCGTTGTAGTCGGCCCAGCCCCCGATCCGGGTCTTGCACTCGGCCACGAGCGCCGCGAACCTCGCGGCGCCCACCAGCGGCCTGAAGCGCTGGTCGCTGGCCAGCGTGTCGAAGACGATGCTGCAGCGCAGCCATCCGTCCCTCTGGTCGAGCCACGAGAGGAGGAAGCGGGCGACGCCGGGCGTGGGCTGCAGATAGGAGCTGGCGCAGTACTTGTTGATGCTGTCCATCACGCTCTCCTCGAGGGTGCCGAGCTTGGTCGTCGCGAATCCGCCGCAGATCGAGGCGATGATGGCGTTGGCGACGACGTGCTGGGCCCCGTCCTCCGCCTCCTCGCCGTCGTCCTCGGGAAATGTCTGGCCAAAGTCTCCAGAGTCCCAGTCGATGTGCTCCTGCGCGATGCGCTGGCACGTCTCGACCGCGTCCTCCCCGGCGAGCACAGCCGTCATGATGGCGTGCGTGCACTCCAGCGGGTCGCAGACCCGGAAGCATCTGAGGCAGCCGACCGAGAAGCTGAAGCAGCCCCCCGAGTCGATCTCGCGCATGAATGCTGCCCACCCCTGCCGGTAAATGGCGGAGCGGCGGGCGGCGCGAATGGCGCGGTCGCGCACGCCCTCTCGGGCGAGAGCGACCTTCCACGACCAGCATGCAGCCATCATCGATGCAGCACCGCAAGCGCCCGCTTGCATCTCATCGGCCGCATTCTGTCGGCTGAATGCCGGCCCGCTGTCGATCTCACGAGTGAGCACCCATGCGATCGCGCGGAGGAGCTCCGGAGTGATGTTTGCCCAATCCGCCATGTGGCAATGCCCCCCACCCCCCCGGGGGCAGGCGGAGTTTTTTCTTTTATTTGAAACGCTGTAAGGTCCCGTTCCAGTAAGTAAATAAACCCCCCAAGCCAAGCTAGGCTAGACACGTCCCCACCTTTGCAGGATTTTGCAAAAGCGAAGAAGACAACAAATGCGACCAAAAGCGATGGGGGGGGGTGGGTGGGTGGGTGGGTGGGGGGCATCGCGGCGCGGAGAGGGCTGGGCACAGGGCACAGGGGATCTCTCGCGCATAGGATACGCACTCGGCGAGCAAAAAAATCTCGCGCGGGGGCGCAAAGGCAAGATGTACATGAGCTTCGGCTTCCTCGCCCTGGTTCTCGCCCTGGTGGCCACGGTGGACGCGCTCCTGCCGGCGCGCGCGGCGTCGCTCACGCAGGCCGACAGGCCCAACGGCGGCCACCGCGCGCCAGCGGCACTGATGCAAGCCGACAGGCCCAACGACTGGTGCCGACGCCCGGAGCTTCTGCCCTCGGCCGCCTCCACCGCACAGTGCCGTCGCCACAGGCCCTACGGTCTGCACTCGGCCGCCTCCACCGCACAGTGCCGTCGCCACAGGTACTACGACAACGTCGAGTTTATGAACGAGCCCTTCAAGTTCATCGCGGAGCACCCGCAGGATTTTTCGCCTGCGATGCAGGCGATGGCTAAGTACCAGTTCATCACGGCGGAGGACAGCCGGCCTTTGGGCGACCTGCCGATGTACTGGAACGAGGGCGACCAGCTGCGTCAGTCGCTCCTGCAGAAGAGCCGGGTGAGCAAGAGCGAGCACCCGTCGCATCACCCGCCAACTCAAGAGTTACGTGCTGACCAGAGCAAATTGTGACGCGTTCCTCGCTGTCTCTGCGAGGTGGCCGACGACCTTGCCCGGGTCATCATGACGGCCGACCTCGAAACGATGGGCAAGCTCGCCGCGGACGCAAAGTTTGCAGAAAAGAAGGAATGCTCGCCGCGCACGCATCGCGAACGCATCGCGAGACCTTGGGACTTTGAGAGCACTTTGGGTTGGATGTCGGTTAGGAGCTCTTCCAGCGTCTCGCGGGGCTGCCAAAGGACAACCGCGGCGCGCCCGCGTCGCCCACCGCCCGGAGAGACACGCGTCCGAACCAACGCGCGCCCTCCCTCAAGCGTCGGCCGGCACTTCGCTAGGCATGCTCGCCATTCACGAGACAATCAAGGGGATGAACGCAGCCGGCAAGCTGCCTGCCCTCGCCGCCTTCCCGGGTGACGACTCGACCTCGCGCTCAGGTTGAGCAGTAGCCCGTCCGTGTGACACGTCCGTGGCACCGCGCCAAAGGCGACCTCGAATACGCAGCGATGAAGGTTGCAGAGGCGAACGCGGCGCTGCGGCTGCTCGACGAAAAGCGCGCCGCCCCTCTCCTCTTGAAGCTCTCTCACACACAGCCGTGACCGTACCACCACAACGCATCAGGTACACGGCGCTCTTCCTTGCCGTGCGCGTCACCGACAAACTCTCGGGCGCGGCGGCGCAGATGAAGGAGGGCGGCAGAGGGATGCCGCAGCAGCCGAGCCAGGGCCAGTCGGGCATGGGTGCTGCGCAGCCACAGGGCCGGGGAGGTGTGCCTCCCGGACCGGGCGGTGGAAGGAGCGACATGCCTTCGCAGGCAGGCACGCGGCCCGGCTTCTCCTCGCCCTTCGGCGCGCCTCAGCAGGGCTACGGCGGGCAGCAGGGCCTCGGCGGCACGGGGGGGGCGCCGCCGGGCGGGCAGGGGCAGGGCGGGCCGGGGGTTAGGAGGGGGCGCTACGACTGAAGGACCCGCCCATCCTCTTTGTTCGCCGCAGTCCTCTCCACACACGCTGGTCGCTGTCAGCGCGAGAGCGTGACACGGGGATGCCACGGAGCCCTCCGCGACACACGGATGGTCTCAATTCTCAGAGAGCCACACGCGCGGCCGAGGCGTGCCGGCGCCCGGCGGAGACCCGGTGGTGTCTGGTGAAAGAAATCGTGATCAAACCAATCGTGACGCTTCCTAAAGAACTGTTCAGTTTTCAAAGGCAAAAACGCCGGCGTACGCCCTCCCCTCACACTGACACTCGTCTGACTTCTCCCCACTCGCACTCCCCCCTATTCCCAACTTTAGGTTGCGCACGTCTCCCAGCGAGCTAGGATCTCCGCTGTTTCTCCCCTAGTCATCCGCCCGCGCCGCGCGCCTCTATGGGCGTCTAGTGCAGCCACTGACAGAACTATTCCCGAGGAGTGGTCGACGTCTCGCCTGAAGTCGGGTGGGCTCGCGCACTGCTTAGCCCTAGGGGAGGGGTGTGTGTGGAGGGTCCCAAAAGAGACCGGCGCGCTCCCCCGCAGCGTCGGTGTTAAGGAAGCGGCGCACGGCGGCGTGCTGCCGTGCGGGTCGGGGTGCGACGCCGTCAGCCAGCCGTAGGAGAGGGCAAACACACTCCGGTCGCCTCTCTCGAGCGCCGCCGCCGCCGCCTCGCACGGCACAAAAGCTTCCGGCGGCAGGTCCTGCCGCCGCCTCATGATGGCGGAACCCGTCAAGGCGTCGCGGCCGAGGCTCGCGTCGGCCGCGGGCGATCTCAGCCACTCGCAGCAGACCAGCCGCACGGTGCCGTCGAGTAGTCGCTCGCGGAGCGTGCCGTCGATCTTGGAGTCGGTGGCGGTGAGCACGGCGGAGAGGTCGACGGCGCCGAGCACGCGCCTTGTGCGGTGCAGCTCTCGGAGCGAGAGGAGCGCGCCCCCAACGAGGGTTCCGAAGAAGACGGCCGCCATGAGGAGCTCGACGACGGTACGTGTGACTCCCAGGTCGCTGACTCCCAGGAGATGGTCCCAGAGCGCCGTGTAGATGCAGGTGAGTACGAGGAGGACGGTCGTGGCGCCGTGGCGCCGTGGAGCCACGACTCGAGCGCATTTTGAAAGTCGAAGGCGAAGGGGGCGTTCGAGCGGTGCGCGAGCCAGAAGGCGAGCGTGACGGCGATGGCGGCGGCGGCGCCGGCGTAGCGGCCGATACGGAATTCATCCTCAGAGAGGCGATAGAAGATCAAGTCGATGGCAAAGACTACGAGGAGGAGGAGGAAGCGAACTGGCGCAGCCAGACGACCAGCTGCCATCGAGGCGCGAATCGGGCGAAGCGGCCGGTAAGAAACGCAACCTGCCTCTCCAAGCGTCAAGGGGCGATGATGGGTCCGCGCCGGCAGAGGCCGGGCGAGCGCCACTCGCCCTTGTTGACGCCGCGCTGGAAGCTGAAGGCGTTTCGTGCAAAGTGGACGGCGAGGGCGGGTAAGAGCAGGGCCAAGATTAAGCTCTCAGCAAACAGAAGGATCGTGCGAGGAAAAGTGCGAGCAACCCTCTTTGGATGAGCAGCATCCATGCGGATTGCGGACTGTGAAAAGAAATTCGAGAAGTGTAGACTGCGTATTTGAAGACCAGGCGCCAGCTGAAGACCACTGCGTATACGATGCTCGAAGCGACCTCGGCCGAATCAAAAGGTGCAAAATGACCGCAGCTACGGGCGATGGCTTTGGCGAGGAGCGGCGTAACAAGGGACACAAGCGCAGCCGTCGTAGCAAACAACGCATATGCCCCAAAGCGAGGTATTATGTCGTCAATGATGTCTCTGTCGGAGTTAAAGAGGCAGCTGGCGTGTGGCATCTCTAGGCGCAGCGCCGAAGCGAGCTCGATCAAGGAGTTTGGCCACTCTACCCGGAGGCTCGCTCGCTCGCAATGATACTGACTGTCTGCGTGGTTGACTAGGATAGTGGCGGTTGAGACCCAGCGCTTAAGAGACGAGGGATCCTGGACTGCGAGGCGGATGATGATGCAAAATTCAATCATAACAAGTACGATGCCGACTCCGATTGCATGTGTCCTGGCAGCATACCCGTACGTACTTTTAGCTTACTGGGAGAAAAGAGAGAGGGGGGTGTGTTCTCTAGGCCCCTAGGGGCCCTACGCGCGGCGTGAGAGCTCGGAAGCGAGCTTAGCACGGCGATCGAGGATGGCACGGTTCACCCCCTTCACCGAAGCGATGGAGATGCGTTCCCCGTATGCTGGAACGGCCAAGTTCAGAGGTTCACGAGAGTTGAACTCTGCCACATTTTTACGACGCGGTCGCCCTCTGGCGGGCTCTGCCACGCGATGGCACCCTCCAGCACACTCGGCCTCAATCGGTCAAACTCTGTTACAGTGAAGGAGTGCAGCAGAGTGTGGTTGAGTGCAGGTGGGAATCAAATGGTCGTCCGGTTGCGCACACAGTCAGCACACGAACTCGGCCACACTCGGTCACACCCAGAGAATTCGTTGGGACGGAAGCCAGAGTGCTGCAGCGCTCTCCCACAGGCAAGCAAACTCTGCCGCACTCAGCCGCACTCAGCCGCAATCTGCCGCACTTTGCCGCACTCTGCCGCACTCTGCTGCACTCTGCTGCACTCTGCTGCACTCTGCTGCGCTCTGCTACAATCTGCTGCACTCGGCCAGTCAGTGGCGTGGCAGCACACACAATCCACCGGCACGGAAGCACTGAGCCACCGCACGGAGGCGCGGGCCGCGTCTCCCCGCCAGCCCTCTTGTTCGAGTCTCGCACCCACCGTGCGGGCGGCCCGGCGGCCGCCGCGCCTGCCGCCTCCTTCCCGAATGCACAGCCCCCGGCTCGCGCCGGGCCGCTCTCCGCGACCAGTCAGAGCAGCCTGTCCTACTCGGTCACGCGACGACAGCGGCACGCGAGCGCGGCCCTCGCCAAAGCCGCGACAATACAAGAGCTGGCCAAAGGCTGCGCGGCAGCGGCGAGACGCACATCGCAGCGGCCGAGGCAGCGCGCACCCGCCGAGCGTAGACTGCCTACACACAGGCCATGCATGTGAGCTCTCCAACGTACGCGCCGTGCGGCACGACCAAAGACCGACGCCTATCCGGCGAGACAAAAGAGCACCGACGGCGACGCCACGCATCCGTGAAGGTGTTTAGGTGCACGTCGGCCTCTCGTGCCGTGCGCAGGAAGAGAGAGGCGCTGCCAGAAGCTCGCGCGGGCGAAGTGGTAGAAAGATCGTCGGGGAGCGCCAGCGCTGGCTAAAAGCCCGACGAAGCTGGTGCTCTCACGGCGCGAGGAGGGACGGTCGGAATTCGCTTCTCCAAGATGTTTTTTTTTCAGTGTATGTAGCTCTTACGTACATTCCCGTAGGAGACTCTGCTGACAGGGTTTGCGATGAGGAGCGGCCCGAAGGGTTTCTCGGAGGTTAGTGCACCTTTTTCAGTGTATGTAGCTCTTACGAACATACCCGTAGGCGAACTGCTGACAGGGTTTGCGATGAGGAGCGATCCGAACGTGGTATTCGGGTGATTAGATCACTACCGCCGAAGCGCAAGCGCTTGGAGCAAGGGAACTGCCACGTATGGGTCCCAGACTAGCACCCCACCTCGCGGGCCGACGTTCTGGCCCAGCAAGGCTGCTGCGGAGCACTCGGGGCCGATGTTCTGGCCCAGCGAGGCCGCTGCCCTTTTTTACGCTTTTGGGGGGCACGAGTCGAGAGGTTTTTCAGAGGTAGATCTCCGGATCTCGACAAAGCGTTGTTCGGAGAAGTGCCTCGACGGACGAAATGGTCTGAGTCCTCGGTGCCTGTTTTGAAAAAGAAGAAACAGAATTAGAACCACGGTCACGACCACGTGGTCGCGTGGGTGGTCGCCATCATACGACCAGCGACCACGCGACCAGAAACCCTATATGGTCGCCAACATACGGCCAGCTGGTCGCGTGGTCGCCAACTTGCGACCACGGTCACGACCACTCTGGCAGAGTGGTCGCCAAAGTACGACCAGCGACCATGATCCCCAAAGGCACGTGTACAAGTGGCAGCTTGGCATCACCTTTCTTGGTGCAATTGTCTTGTGGACAGGCCCACACCTGGGGTCTGATTCTGACGCCACAATCTGGCGCAGGACACGCCGTCAGCACCGGTTCCGACACGGTGAGCGCTGGCTGGGAGATCTCGGCTACGTTGGCTGCCGTGGCATCCTCACCAAGTTCAAGAAGAACCAGATGAACGGTCCCGGACGACGCATCGATAAGAGGCGCTTTAATCGCGCTCATGAGCGTATTCGGAACCGGGTTGAGAATGTGGTGAGCTACGTGAAGCGGCATCAGCTCTTCGCCCAAGGGCGGGCCTTCACGCATAGCGTTGAGGAGCTCGCCACAGTCATGAAGATTGTTGGCCACGTGAGCGCCCTGGAGCTGCGCCGCTTCCAGCGGTTTCGCTCATTTGGGCCGTGGCCGCACTAGTATACTAAGGGTAATATTTGTTTTTTATATGCTCGCCGAGAGCGACGCCGCACAGCTTCGTCGGGCTTTTAGCCAGCGCTGGCGCTCCCCGACTCTTTCTACCACTTCGCCCGCGCGAGCTTCTGGCAGCGCCTCTCTCTTCCTGCGCACGGCACGAGAGGCCGACGTGCACCTAAACACCTACACGGATGCGTGGCGTCGCCGTCGGTGCTCTTTTGTCTCGCCGGATAGGCGTCGGTCTTTGGTCGTGCCGCACGGCGCGTACGTTGGAGAGCTCACATGCACGGCCTGCGTGTAGGCAGTCTACGCTCGGCGGGTGCGCGCTGCCTCGGCCGCTGCGATGTGCGTCTCGCCGCTGCCGCGCAGCCTTTGGCCAGCTCTTGTATTGTCGCGGCCGTGGCGAGGCCGCGCTCGCGTGCCGCTGTCGTCGCGTGACCGAGTAGGACAGGCTGCTCTGACTGGTCGCGGAGAGCGGCCCGGCGCGAGCCGGGGGCTGTGCATTCGGGAAGGAGGCGGCAGGCGCGGCGGCCGCCGGGCCGCCGGCACGGTGGGTGCGAGACTCGAACAAGAGGGCTGGCGGGGAGACGCGGCCCGCGCCTCCGTGCGGTGGCTCGATGGCCTGCTGCGCCCGGCGGCTCCATCCGTGCTGCGTGGTCCAGGACTATCCGCCAGACTCAGCCGCACTCAGCCGCACTCAGCCGCACTCTGCTGCACTCTGCTGCACTCTGCTGCACTCTGCTGCACTCTGTTGCTATCTTCCGCCCTCAGTAATACTCGGCCACAGTCGGGCACAGTCGGCCGTGCTCATGAACACTCTTCGATGCCGAACGAAGGCACCCTCTGACTGCACGGACTCTGCCACACTCAGTCACATCGAGTGCCAGGTGGGAAGGGCTCATCTCGGGGTCGGGGTGCGTGGTAGAGTGTGGCCGAGTGTGGCCGTGCCGAGGTTGGCCTTGTTTACACTCTGCTACAGTCAAGCACGATCAGCCGCCCTCGGTTACACTCTTTCTGGCTACGCCGCTATCTGCCCACCTCGGCAGCTGGGTAGAGTTCAACTCTCGTGAACCTCTCAGACATGTACATGTCCCATCGGAGCGAGGAGCGTCGCTGGCGTGATGAGCAACGGCGCGCCGAGTGCGGACGCGAAGAGTGGCGATGGCAGGGCGAGCGACGGCGGTCGCGATCGCGCGATGAGCCGCGGCTGGATGAGCTGCGACGGCGCGATGAGCGTTGGCAAGGTGAGCAATGGCCGCACCATGACGGGCGGCAAGACGAGCGGCGCGGCTACAACGACTCTTGGTGCAGAGGTCGCGAGCAGCGATGGCACGCTGAGCCACAATGGCCCGCTGAGCCATGGCGCGACGAGCCATGGCGAGGCGAGCAACGGCCGCATCATGACGGGCGGCATGACGAGCGGCGCGGCTACGACGATCGGGGCAGAGGCGAGCACGAGCGCGACTGGCACGATCGGCGCGATGACCGGCGCGAACGCGGCGAGGGGCAGCCACAGCACAGCGGTCGCCGGGTGGAACCGCCGATGCACGGAGCGCAAGGATGCGACGCGCAGGGACGCCGCGACGCACGAATGCGCAATGAGCGCCCCTCGTTTAGCCGCTCTGCTGCCTATGGTCAGCTCAATGCTAAGCAGCTCAGCAGCCACATCTCAAATGCTGGCAGCGCTGACGCATTGCTCGCGCTCTCTGCTGCCCACAGCACGAGCTTGGACCACATCCACGCTGCGAACCTGTGGAACAAACTGGGCAAGCAGCGCATCGAGCGGCGGCACGAGGAGCGGCTTGAGCAGCTGGTGCAGCGCACGCTTGACCTGAGTTATATTAAAGAAGGAGAGTGTCGTGAGTGCATGCGGATTCGTTGCTGTGCGTGTGTGGGCGTGTCGGGACTTGCTCCTTTACCCATGATCCCCTGAGATGGCCTCCGTTTTGTTTATTTATGATTGCTGTGCGTGTTCGAATTCGCGTGTTCCAGTAAGACAGTAGTCAGTACACCGCCCCGTCCCGGTCCCCGCGCGCAGGCCGCAGCAACACCAGAGCATCCAAGTTACCTCGCAGGTTGAGGTTCCAGCAAAGAGCCAAGACCAAGAGACAAAGAAAGTACTTTATGTGCGGTTTGAAACGATGGCGCTTCCTCGATGGGCGGTGCGAGGGAGCACAGGCTTGCGAGTTGAGCGTATTCGATAGTACAACTCTCGCATCATCTGACACGAAAAATGGCGGCGGGACACTCCCCACGTCACCTCTCGAGGCCTCGCGTGCCCCGCTACCGGCGCCGTCACCGCTTGCCCGTTGCCCACGTAGTCCGGCCCGGCCGCCGCCGCCACCCACTTGTCCACACGAAGCCGTCAAACTCGGGGCCGCCCATTGCGGCGAGGGCGGCGTCGCTCGGCACCGGCGGCGCAAAGGTCGAGTTCTCGACGACGTGCCGAAGCAGGGTCAGGGCGGCGCGCGGGCGGAAGGTGGGGACCATGTGGCCAGAGCCGTGCCACCGTGGCGAAGGAAGGAGAGGCCGTGCTCGTAGTCGACGGTCATGACCAAGCGCGCGGCCGCCGGGCGCCTCCGAACCGACAGGGGCGCCGCGGCAGTAGAGAGCACTCCACCGCCATACCGTTTTTATGGCGGGTTCAATATCAAAGGACGTATTTTCTTCTCATAACAAGGCTGTGAACGGGTGCGGAGCCCCAGCTGCCAGGCAGCTCAAATTTGCGATGAAACCTGCTTCGCCTGGCCGGCCTGTTCTCACGTTGCTTGTGGCCGGCTTTTGGTTTCGCGGCTCAGCGCCGTTCTCGCTTGCTGTGGGGCATGAGCGTCCGGCTCCACCACCTAAGGGTCTGCTGGGTATGCCACGGCTTGACAGCCGGCCTCAGCGACGGCAGCATGCGGCATCGCGGACCGGGTCACCCTCCAGCGTGCTGGATTCTTGGATGCCAGATCAAGCGGAGGAAGAAGAGCTTTTGAAGAGCCCGGGGGGGTTGAAGGGCCGTGTGGGCCGTGCTGCTCTCTGCATCGTTGGCGAATGGCGGACATTCGGCATGCCCGCTGTCCATGAAGGGGTCGAGCTGGCGCGGCACGTGTGGCAGGCTGACGTCTTCATGTTTTACCACACCCGATATGACGCTGTGGCCATGGCTCATAAAAACAGGCAAAACGCGGTTGCATGCGCCGAGGAGACGCATTTGCTTCAGAATTACACACACGTGGAACACCTGCCGTACGATGGCTGCAAATCTAAGGCCACCGTTCAACATCGCCAAATTAATCGTTGCTTCCGCCATGTCATGGAGCACGAGAGGCGCAACGGCGTCCGTTACGACTACTTCATTCGATCGCGCCCAAACTACATCGTGTGGAATCCAGAGCCCATGCAGCCCAACCTTACGCAAATGCTGGCAGTCCGGCCCAAACCCGACATGCTGTTTACGATTCCTCGGGCCAAACTACACGAGTGGCTGACAGGCATCAACGAGAAAGAATGCTTGAATGTTGTTCGTCGGCCTGAACACTGCTGCTTAGAGTACACGCACGGAATGTTGAAGCCGACGAACCATCGCACGTGGAGGCAACAGGGTGCCCTTGCTCGTGGTTGGGAGCACATGGAATATGCCAGCGTCGAGCGTCCACGCATTCCACCGAGCCTGCTGCACTGCAACATCACGGGTCGTCCCGGAAGCACCTCAGTCAGCGACAGGCAGGCTGCGCTATAGGGGCGCTCCGGAAGGCTGGATCTTCATCCGTTGGCCGCGTTGGGTAGCTTCGCCCGCAGGCGCGAGCCGGGAAAAAAGAATAGAGCGAGGCAAAAAAGAAAAGACCAGGCGCGCGCGACGTCCCGCACAGCCGTGTAATTTCAGTGTACGTTCTCTCTCTCTCTCAGTGTATATAGCTCTTACGAACATACCCGAAGGTGAATTTCGGCGCTGGAGACGGGTACGTGGCTGGGTTCACAGCGATTGTACTTTAGCGTTAGGCAAGTGGAGGGACCAAATCACGGTCGCGGCCTTCCGACTCGCGCCTCCGCCTCACTGGCACTATTGTAGCCCTGGCCGGTGCGCGTGCAGAGTTGAAGTTCCGGAGTGAAAATTCGAACGCGTTCTCTCACGGTGACAAAAAAATGTCCACCTTCAGAGGCACCTCCGGAGGCAGGCCGCCGCACGCCGGCGACACAGCTCCAGCTGTCGAACTGACCCGCAGCTCCTCTCAGAGCGGGAACTGTGACGAAAGTGAATGAGGCGGTTGTCAGGAACCATCATACGGATCACATGGTGGCTCTCTCATGACGGGAGACCGCCCGACCACTCCTGGGTGGCACTGCCACCGGTGTCGCTCGACGTCCTGTCGACAGGGTGCCGACAGCGACACAGACCATGTGGGACGCGTCGAGTATCGACCTCTACTGCTTACCAAGCCTTCGAGTGTATCCTGGCTGTGGCCCCACACCCACTGGTGTCCATCTCAGAGACCGCAGGAGGTCATGAGGGTCGATGGGAGTGCCAACCCCACAATGCCTAAAAACCCAGCCCAGCAGTCAGTGCTCGGGAACACAACGCACTCTCTCACATGACAAGCGATCCCACGACAGCGAGTGTGGGGACTACATGATCCGTACGTGAATGAAGGGTGGAGGGGCCCGTCCGCAGAGCTAGGCGGCACGGGCACCCCCCACCGGGGCCGAAGCCCTGGGTGAGCCAATCTGACGTTTTGGGACATCGCGTCACAACCGTGTTTTTCTCGTTGTTTTGTCGCTCGCCACCTCACGCTCCGTAGCCCGGCCATGGCCAGTACCCCGCGTCTCAGTGAGACGCGTGGTACCATCCAACTCCGGTCGACGGCTCGAATGCGCTCAGCCTCAGGAGGGACAAAACCGCGCGAATTCTGCACGCCTCGCTGCACCGCTGGCTTGACTGAATCAGGCAGCAGCAGGCTGCTGCTGTTGCCACAGCAGCAGTCTGCTGCGGCCCCAATACGCAAGTTAATGACCAGCATTGCTGCCGGTGGCATTCGAGCCGCCACAGCCGGTGTGCGGCTGTGCACTGCCACCTGCCCGCGGCTACGCACAATGTGCGCTTGCATTGGATGAGCCCTGCTGATGGACCTGCGTCGCCTAGCTGCACGAGAGCAATGCCGCAGGTGGCGGCCGTGGCATACACTGCGAGCACACTCGGTGCAGCTGCGAGGTGCAGCAAGAGCACGTCGTTCCTGCCTCTGATGCCACTCTCGCGGCTTGTAGCGCGTCACTCGCGCATGCTCTCCAGGAGCTGTGGCGGGCGCGTGTGTGGGGCTGTAGCCTGTGTTTGGCCGGTTCTGACCCGTTTACTATCAGTACCATGCCTGGGTCACAAGAATCGCACACGGGGAGCGGCTCAGGGACCCAGTAAGCCGCGGAATCGCCAAATGTCACAACACCCGGCTCACCCCCAGGGCTGGACCTAGTCCTCTGTGCAGAGAAACAGCATGCTGAGCATGGCAAGGGCTCCACCCACCCAGGTCGCGACCTCCTCGGCTTTGAGGCGGCAAGCGCGCACGTTTTTGACGTTAGCCCTCATGATAGGCTCCCAGCGCCCGCCGCGCCCACCGACCCAGTGTCGATCTTGGTCTGTGAAAACAGCGCCATAGGACGTATCTTCTTCTCAATAACAAGGCTGTGAACGATTCGTATATACGATCAAAACCTATAGGAAAAAGGGGAATCAGGCCGCCGTAAAGTGCTGCGGGTGCCGCGCCGCGGGAACGCGGTCGCGGAAGCGCGGGAAGGCCCGCCCCCCTGCTGCTGCTCCCCGGAGACACCGGCCACCGCCCAGATAGATACGCCACACCCACAGTCGGAGCCTGGCAGCCCGCGGACAGACCCCCCCGCGACTGTTGGAGTGAGCGAGCCTCGGCCTCGCACCACGCTCGACACTCTAACGCTCCTAGCTCCTCTACGTCCTGCTAGTGCTGCAGCTGCAGCCTGCACGGCTCAACGCGCCCCGCCAGAAGCACAGGCGGACAGGGCCGCCTGTTACAGCTCTATTCCTGCCTTCCGCACACAGTGCTCGACCGTAGGCGCGTGCGACCGCAGGCTCTCATTGTTGCTCCCACTCATGCAATGCTCGACCACTTCGCGCAAAAAGTGCGAGCCCACGCGCGTTCTCGGCACGTCGTACAGCACGTCGGCGCGGTGCGCCTGCAAGGCGCGCTGCCGGCGCAGGAGCTCCTCCCCTGGCATCTCTCGCAGGACAGCGAGTGCAGTGGCGGGGTTCTTGACAAAGTCGCGTGCCTTGACGCGTACGACAAAGTCGTCGTATGGCACGGTGTTCGCAAAGGCGCCCCTGAGGCCGTCGCAGATGGCGACCGGTATGCAACCGGCGGCGATCGCCGAGTAGAAGCGTGCCGAGACGCAGTTGTCCCCGGCGGGAGCTAGGCAGAAGACGCTCTCCGCCATCTCCACTGCCGCCTGCTCCACCTTGCTGTTGTCGACCGACGCGTACCTCCACATGTTGGGCCCGCCCTTTTGGCCCTCCGCCTCAGGTCCCGCGTTCGCCTTGCCGCCCCGAGCCGACCGCCGCCGGTCCAGCCGGCGCCTCCGCCTCGCGCCTCGCCCCATCGGCGTTAAGCTGCCCGTCGAACCTGCCAGCTCGACTAGGTCGTGTGTCGATGCGTTCTTCAGCAGCGCGAGACGCTCCATAGTGCCGCGGGTGCAGCGGCCCCAGGTGGATCGGTTGGTCGGCAGGGACGGCCGCATCACGACGTCCGACACGTCATGCCATGCCTCCATGAGCTTGCCGACCGCGCACCGGATAGCGCGACCGGTGCAGCAGACGTCGAGCGCACCCGAGAACTGAACCATCGTGCGGCGGCGGCCGAGGATACGCCGGAACGCCTGCTTGGCGAGGAGGTTGGCGCCATCGGCGTCGCCCGCCAGGAGGCTTCCGACGGTGGAAGCCTCGACGAAGGAGCCCTCCACCGTCGGCCCGTGCGATGCCGGCAGCATCTTGGACTGCGCACGCAGCACGCTGTCGAGCTTGCGCAGATTTTTGGCCGACGGCGGTCTGGTCCAGTCCTTGTTGTATTGCAACGTGGCCGCCAGCGACGCCTGGTACGGCATCTCTAGCGAGCAGCGGCCGACCACGCTGACTCGCTTGTACGAGCCTGTCGGAAACCGCTTATATCGGCCGGTGGTGGCGCATGTCAGCGCGCGAGCCGCGTCGCCCATCCGAGCCGACATGGTCAGCCAAGGCGCTGACCATGCCGTGCTGGCAAAGATGTGGTCTAGCCCGCCAGAGCGCTGGTAGTGGGGAGAGGAGAGGAGCGCTCGGTGGAGGTCGCTCATCCGTGCCTCGTGAGAGCTGCCATTGCACTCTCCCAGAGTGTGTGACGTGAACTCAAACACGGGGACATAGAAGACTTGCGCGTCGGACGCGTCGCGAACCCGCCAGGGGTGATGGCGAAGCGCCTCGTAAAGCCCCACCTCGGCCAGGTTGGCGTCGTTGACGGAGTGTGCCAGAGAATCGAAGCCGTCGCACTGCCGCAGCCATGCGTGGCAGAGCGCGCGCTCCGTGTATATGAAGAAGGGCACCACCATCGCGGATGAGACGGAATGGACGGCCGACGTCGTCTAGGATTGTTAGCAGCCTCCGCAATCCTAGAAGTTTAAGGGGGGGGAGTGAGCAGCACGGGAGTGAGCAGCACTCCTCGCAATCGTAGCATCTCTGCTCTGTCTGAGTGTGCGATTGCGAGCACGCCCGCGCTCGCTCGCAATCATCTTCTCTCTCTCTCTCTCTCTCTCTCTCTCTCTCTCTCTCTCACGCGCGCATTACGCACGCACGCACGCACGCACGCACGCACACACACACACACACACACAGAGAGAGAGAGAGAGAGAGAGAGAGAGAGAGAGAGAGAGAGAGAGAGAGAGAGAGAGAGGTACGTGGCTCTTATACGAATACCCGAGAGAGAGAGAGAGAGAGAGAGAGAGAGAGAGAGAGAGAGAGAGAGAGAGAGGAAATTTTAAAGCTCTCGCACGGAAATCTAAAAAGAATTTTACAACGAAACTCCCTCGCACGACACGCACACAGAATTACTTTTCGGAGCACTTCGAATTCTGCCAAAAGAAACACCTCGCCCAGGCGCGTTTGAGTCGAGCGACACAATCGCTCTCGCTCTCAGCATCGGCCATGCAAACGCAGCCTCGGACGCAGCCTCCGCTCGCCTCGCTCCACCCCCACAGCCGCGAAATTGTGAGCCGATCGCTCGAGCTCAGGCCCTCCGCCACGGCCTCTTCAGCACGCACGGTCGCAACGCCTCCGACCCTCTTTTTGCGCCGCTTGCTCGCAGGCTCCGCGAAGGCAGGCCGCCACCGGTGTGGAGCACACCGCTGCCCGTCTTCCGCGCGCCAGCGGTGGGATTCGCACTGGTGGAGGTGTCGCCACGGCCCACCCCGCACCGCGGCTCCGCATACTCGGTCGCCGCCGGACAGCCGCGAGTCACCTTTGACCTCGGGCGGAGCGTCAGCTCGGCCGCCGTTACCAACGCTTCTGCCACTGGCACGCGCGCCTTGCTGGCCGCCGTGGACGTGAGGCCGGGCCGAATTCACGCGTCGCGCGCCGCTCCGTAGGCCTGGTCTGCTATCCGACGCCCGAGGCGGCCTGCAGCGCAAAGTGCCGAGCGGTGCGCTCACGCCCCACCGCCGCACACAGCAACCTTCAACGAGTGAACCGCCGCTTTCGCCACTCCCGCCGGCATTCGCACCGCATCAAACGACCCCACCAAACTGCCGCGCCGCGCACAGGACGCGGACGGGCCCGAGCGCAAGCTGGCCATCTTCGAGATTGGGCCTGGACCTGTTCGACCCGGGCCGGACGGCGCGCTGCGGTGCCACTCGCTGGTGCCCGTGCGGTTCGACCCGGTGCCGGCGCGCTACGCGAGAGCAGCGCGCGCCCGCCCAGTCTGGTGGGCACCATCTCACGGCCGGAGGTAGGTCTCTCTCTCTTGTCTTCTCTCCCTGACTCTTGTAACGAGTGCCAGTGCCTAGCATCTTGCGACGGAGCAGTGAATCGTCAGCACAGTGTCCGGTGAATCATCAGCACAGTGTCGAGTGTGTGGTCCCAGGAGAGTATGATCGACGTCGGTTCAAGGCGTCTGAGATGAACGATAAAAAAATTGCTTATCGCTGTATTATCGCCGACGTTCGTCACAGGAAACAGCGATAATACGAATGTACCTTTTCTTTTGTCGAGTCCCGTGCCCAGTGTTGTGCGTGCGAGGCCGAGGCAAGAGTGAGCCTTGTAAATTCTTTTCTCGTGTGGAGGGAGCGAGGACCCGGCTGCACACGCAGCTCGCAGACTCGTCGGAGCAGGGGGGGCGGCGCAGCGCGCAGCCGCAGGCGCCCGGCGGCGCCGCCGGAGGAACCTTCCCGGCTCAGAAATCGCGTTCGGAACTCGCCGCGTTGTTCACATAAACGCACAACCCCGCAAACACAAACTCTCTCTCAACCCCGGGCCCGAAATCGCACAGAGACAGTCACGCAACACGGGGTCCCAGGGAAGGCGAGCGAAAACCTTATAGCGTTGTTCAGTGAACAGGGCTCCAGGCCCCAAATTACGTGTGAGTGTTAGAGTTGTTTGGTATTGCTAAAAATCTCTCTCGTAAACGCAACACGGGGCCCCGAACACTCCCTTTGTTCTCTTCTCATAAAATCGGAGGGTCGGCCCACGGGGGGACTTCGTGAACTGAAGCGACCCAACGATTTTATGAGTGGCTGCAAAGGGAGTGGGCCCCGAAAACAGATGAAAGTAAGAAAAAGAAATCGCGGGCGCGGGCATGTGCCGAGCGGCTGTGGACGCCCCCCCGCTGCTCGGCCAGCGCGTCGTGCTCGGTGGGCTCTCTGCCCGCCCCGAGCTGAACGGGTGGTGGGGCGTGGCGCGGAGCTTCGAGGGCGGGCGGTACGCGGTGGCGCTCGAGGGCGGCGGCGAGAGCGTGCGGGTGCGGCCAGGTAATCTGTCGCTGGCGGCGGCGGAGCCAGTGTCAGGCGGTGGCGCGGCAGCCCCAGACGCGGTCGTGGCAGCAGCTGAGCGAGGCGAGGAGGCGGCGGTGCTGGCGTGGCTCGAGGGCGGCGGGCGGGCCGACGCGACGTACGAGAGCGGCGAGGTGAGCGGCCTCACACTGCTGATCGGCGCCGCCTTCTACGGCCACGAGCGGGTGGTCGAGTTGCTGCTGCAGCACGGCGCGGACATCAACCTGCAGAACAGCATCGGCTGCACCGCGCTGATGGCCGCCGCCGACCACGAGCGAGTGGTTGACTTGCTCCTGCAGCACGGCGCTGAGATCAACCTGCAGAGTAACATCGGCCTCACGCTGCTGATGGACGCCGCCGGCAACGGCCACGATCGGGTGGTCGAGCTGCTGCTTCGGCACGGCGCGGAGATCAACCTGCAGAGTAGCAACGGCTGCACCGCGCTGATGCTCGCCGCCGTCTTCAACTGCCCCGCCGTCGTGCGGCGCTTGCTGCGGGCGGGCGCAGACACGGCGGCGCGCGATGCAAACGGCAAGACGGCGCTGCAGCTTGCCAAGCAAGAGGGCCACGCCGAGTGCGTCGAGGCCTTCAAGAAGCACGTCCAGGAGGCGGTGGTGGCGGGACGGCCCGCAGCGACGGCAGCCGGCGGCGAAGGCGCAGGCGGCGCTTCCTCCGGCGGCGTTTCCTCGGCTGGATCGAGAGTCGCGGAGACGCTATCTCCAGCAGTGGCGGCGGGGCGGGCGTCGAGCGGTGGCGTGGCAGTCTCCGATGCGGTCATCGCAGCGGCTGAGGGAGGCGAGGAGGCGGCGGTGCTGGCGTGGCTCGAGGACGGCGGGCGGGTCGACGCGACGTACAAGAGCGGCGAGGTGAGCGGCCTCACGCTGCTGATGGGCGCCGCCGTGTACGGCCACGAGCGGGTGGTCGACTTGCTCCTTCGGCACGGCGCTGAGCTCAACCTGCATAACAGCATCGGCGTCACCGCGCTGATGGCCGCCGCCCAAGGGGGCCACGAGCGAGTGGTTGACTTGCTGCTGCAGCGCGGCGCTGAGATCAACCAGAGCAGCGACGGCTCCACCGCGCTGATGGTCGCCGCCCAGGAAGGCCACGAGCGGGTGGTCGAGCTGCTGATACGGCGCGGCGCTGATGTCAACCTGCAGGACAGCGGCGCCACCGCGCTGATGATCGCCGCCTTCTTCAACCGCCCCGCCGTCGTGCGGCGCTTGCTGCGGGCGGGCGCAGACACGGCGGTGCGCTCTGAAAGCGGCATGACGGCGCTGCAGACGGCCAAGAAGAAGGGCAACGCCGAGTGCGTCAGTTTCTTGACTGAGGCAGCGGCGGCGGCTGCTGAGGGCCGGGCAGGGGCGGACGGCGCTTCCTCGGGCGCGGCAGCGGCAGCTGAGGACGCGCCGCTGCTCGGCCAGCGCGTCGTGCTCGGCGGGCTCTCCTCCCGCCCCGAGCTGAACGGGCAGCGGGGCGTGGCTCAGAGCTTCGAGGGCGGCCGGTACGCGGTGGCGCTTGAGGGTGGCGGCGAGAGCGTGCGAGTGCGGCCGGGTAATCTGTCGCCGGCGGCGGCGGAGCGGGCGTCGAGCGGTGCCGCGGCAGTCTCCGATGAGATCCTCGCAGCGGCTGTGCGAGGCGACGAGGAGGCGCTGCTGGCATGGCTCGAAGGCGGCGGGCGGGTCAACGCGACGTACGAGAGAGGCGAGGTGAGCGGCCTCACGCTGCTGCTGGGCGCCGCCCGCAGCGGCCACGAGCGGGTGGTCGAGCTGCTGCTGCAGCGCGGCGCGGAGATCAACAAGCAGGACAGCGACGGCGGCACCGCGCTGATGGGCGCCGCCCTCCACGGCCGCGAGCGGGTGGTCGACTTGCTGATACGGCGCGGCGCGGAGATCAACCTGCAGAGCAGCGACGGCTCCACCGCGCTGATGCTCGCCGCCGTCTTCAACCGCCCCGCCGTTGTGAGGCGCTTGCTGCAGGCGGGCGCAGACACGGCGGCGCGCAATGCAAACGGCATGACGGGGCTGCAGATGGCCAAGCAGGAGGGCCACGCCGAGTGCGTCGATGCCTTCAAGAAGCACGTCCAGGAGGTGGTGGCGGGACGGCCCACGGCGACGGCAGCCGGCGGCGAATCCGCAGGCGGCGTTTCCTCGGCTGGATCGAGAGCCGCGAAGACGCTATCTCCAGCGGTGGCGGCGAGGCGGGCGCCGAGCGGTGGCGTGGCAGCCCCCGATGCGGTCATCGCAGCGGCGGAGCGAGGCGAGGAGGAGGCGGTGCTGGAGTGGCTTGACGGTGGCGGGCGGGTCGACGCGACGTACGAGAGAGGCGAGACTAGCGGCATCACGCTGCTGATCGGCGCCGCCGGCCACGGCCGCGATCGGGTGGTCGAGCTGCTGCTGCAGCACGGCGCGGAGATCAACCTCCAGGACAGCGACGGCTCCTCCGCGCTGATGTTCGCCGCCAACAACGGCCACGAGCAGGTGGTCGAGCTGCTGCTGCGGCGTGGGGCTGATGTCAACCAGCAGAACAGCGACGGCTGGACCGCGCTGATGTTCGCCGCCGACCAAGGCCACGAGCGGGTGGTCGAGCTGCTGATTCGGCACGGCGCTGAGGTCAACCTGCAGCACAGCACCGGCGGCACCGCGCTGATGATCGCCGCCTTCTTCAACCGCCCCACCGTCGTGCAGCGCTTGCTGCGGGCGGGCGCAGACACGGCGGTGCGCTCTGAAAGCGGCATGACGGCGCTGCAGGTTGCCAAGGAGAAGGGCAACGCCGCGTGCGTCAAGATCTTGACTAAGGCAGCGGCGGCGGCTGCGGAGGGCCGGGTAGGGGCCGACCGCGCTTCCTCGGGCGCGGCAGCGGCAGCAGCTGAGGACGCGCCGCTCCTCGGCCAGCGAGTCGTGCTCGGCGGGCTCTCTGCCCGCCCCGAGCTGAACGGGCGGTGGGGCGTGGCGCGGAGCTTCGAGGGCGGGCGGTACGCGGTGGCGCTCGAGGGCGGCGGCGAGAGCGTGCGAGTGCGGCCGGGTAATCTGTCGCCGGCAGCGGCGGAGCCAGTGTCAGGCGGTGCCGCGGCAGTCTCCGACGCGGTCGTGACAGCGGCTGAGCGAGGCGAGGAGGCGGCGGTGCTGGCGTGGCTCGAGGGCGGCGGGCGGGTCAACGCGACGTACGAGAGAGCCGGCGTGAGCGGCTTCACGCTGCTGATGGGCGCCGCCGGCCACGGCCAGGAGCGGCTGGTCGAGTTGCTGCTGCAGCGCGGCGCAGAGGTCAACCAGCAGAGCAGCGACGGCGACACCGCGCTGATGATCGCCGCCGGCCAGGGCCACGAGCAGGTGGTCGACTTGCTGATGCGGCGCGGCGCTGAGATCAACCTGCCGGCCAGCGGCGGCGGCACCGCGCTGATGGCCGCCGCCGACCAAGGCCACGAGCAGGTGGTCGACTTGCTGATGCGGCGCGGCGCTGAGGTCAACCTGCAGAGTAGCAAAGGCTGGAACGCGCTGATGCACGCCGCCGACCAAGGCCACGAGCAGGTGGTCGACTTGCTGGTACGGCGCGGCGCTGAGGTCAACTTGCGGGACAGCGACGGCGCTACCGCGCTGATGTACGCCGCCCTCCTCAACCGCCCCGCCGTCGTGCGGCGCTTTCTGCGGGCGGGTGCAGACACGGCGGTGCGCTCTGAAAGCGGCAAGACGGCGCTGCAGGTTGCCAAGGAGGAGGGCAACGCCGAGTGCGTGCGCGCCTTCGAGGAGCACTCGTCGACCACAGCAGAGGCGGAGAGGGAGACGGTGGTCGCAGAATCAGCCGAACAGGCCGCGGCGGCCGCACGCGAGGCGGCAGCGGCTGCGGAGGCGGCGGAGGCGCGCGATGCTGCCGAGGCGGCGCTGCGCGAGGCGGTTGAGGCGTGCGGTCGAGGCGACGCCGATCTCGAGGCGCTCAGGGCGGCGATCAACGCGAACACCGACGCCGCCGACGGCTCGGAGGCGCTGCGGGCGGCGCGGCGGCTGCGCGACGAGATGGCGGAGCGCAGGACCCGCGAGGCCAGGGCGCTGAAGCGGCAGCGACAGAAGGAGGAGAAGGCGGCGGCGAGGCAGGCGGCGGCGGTAGCGAGGGCGGCGGAGGAGGCGGATGCGGCGGCGCGGGCGGCGGAGGAGGCGGAGGCCGCGTCGCGGGCTAGGGAGGAGGCAGAGGCGAGGGCAAGGGAGGAGGCTGCAAGGGAGAGGGAAGAGGCGAGGTTGAGGGCGGAGGCGGAGGCGGCGGAGGTGGCGGCGGCGGAGGCGGAGGCGGAGGCGGCGGCTGTAGAGGCGGCAGTGGCGGCCGTGGCGGCGGCGGAGGCTCGAGAGGCAGCGGAGGCTCAAGAGGCGGCGGAGGCGGCGGCAGCGGCGGCGGAGGCGGCGAAGGCGGCGGCGAGTGTTGCCGCCCTCGCCGCCGCCGCCGCGCCGCCCGCCGCCGTCCCTCTCGACGAGCTCATCGCGGCGACCGACGGCTTTGCCGAGGCGCGCAAGGTGGGCGAGGGAGGCTTTGGGCGCGTCTACCGCGCCGACGCGCTGCCGTCGCTTCCGCGCGTCGCTTGCGGGTTCGCGGTCAAGACGGCGCTGGTCGGTGTCGGCGCCCAAGGCCTCGCCGAGCTGCAGAGCGAGGTGCGTACGCTCAGCGCGGCGTGCCACCCGTCCCTGCTCCCTCTGCTCGGCGTCTGCTTGGCGCCGGCGAGAGCGTGCCTCGTCTACCCCCTCTGCCGCGGCGGCAGCCTCGAGGACCGCCTCTACCGCTCGCCAGCCGCGCTGCAGCGGCTCCGCATGCTCGGCTTCGAGACGCCGCCTTCGCCGCTCTCCGCCGCCGCACGGCTCCGCGTCCTGCGCGACGCGGCGAGAGCGCTGCATTACTTGCACACGCTCTCTCCGATGATCCTGCACCGCGACGTCTCGGCGGGCAACATCTTGCTCGACGAGCGCGGCAACGGCTACCTCGCCGACGTGGGCCTCGCGCGCGCGGCAGAGGCAACGGCCGGCGGACAGGTCTCGCACCTGTCGACGCAGCGCCTCTTTGGCAAGCCCGGCTACATTGACCAGATCATCCTCAACGACGGCCAGGCTTCGCAGCTCACTGACGGCTTCGCGCTCGGCATCACGCTGCTCGTCGCCCTGACCGGCCGCGGCGCTCTCGGCTTGCTCAGCGCGTGCGATGATGCGCTGGAGGAGCCCGACACGGCGGAGAGCATCGCGGCGGCCGACGCGGGCTGGTCGGAGGCGCAGGCCGAGGAGCTGGCGCGGCTCGTGGTCGGGCTGGCGTTCGTTCGGAAGAAGAGGCGGATGCCGCTCGCGGAGGCGCTGCCGAGGCTGGAGGCGCTGGTCGAGGCGGCGGGGGCGGTGGAGGAGACGGCTGGGGCCGAGGAGCGCCAGTGTGACCTCTGCTACGACGCGCCTCGCTCGGTTCGATTCGCGTGCGGCCACGCGCTGTACTGCGAGGCATGTGCGCCGCGCGTGCTGGAGCGCGACACCAACTGCCCGGCCTGCCGCCGTCCGGCGCTGCCGATCGTCGACACTGGAGCATGCGTGGCGGCGCAGACGACCTTTGTCTACCAGTCTCCTCGCGCGGTGCCGAACCCTCCGCCGGCCGGCGGCGCTATGCCGGCAGTCGGCAGGCGCGGACGCGGCGGACGCGGTGGGCGGGGCGGGAGGGGCGGGCGGGGCGGGCGGGGCGTGGGGCGGGGCGGTTGGTAAACCTAGAGAAAGCGCCACAATTGCGTGTAACAATTGACAAAGAAAGAAAATCCACCCGTGCAGGAGGTCCAGAGCGTGTAGCGGCCAATATGACCGAGCCGCAGCTCCAGCGAGTGCTGCCGCGCACGATTGCCGCGCCGTACTGGCACGTCGCCAAGGCGCTTGGCTGCGAGCCAGTCTACACTGACGCAGTCATCATGTGGAATATGGTTGGAGCTGGCGGCGACAGCACGGCCGACCCAGACCTGATCCATCTCGAGTTCACGAGCGCTGGTTCAGCGTCATCCAGGGAGCCGTCCTCCGGCTGCTCGATCCGCTCATGGGCCGGGCGCTGCTCCTGCGCGAGGAGATCCTGCCGCAGTACACGGGCGGTATAGGCCCAGACACGGCGGTGGACCCGGCGCACGCGCGGGCTGCCGCCGAGTTTTGCGACGATCTGGCGTCGCGGCTCGACGACGCACGCCTCGTGATGGGCCGCATGTTCGAGCGGCTCGACCCGCACGACTTCCTCATATTTCGGCGCTACTTTGAGGGGTGGCAGTCCTCGTCTGAGTTCTCGCGCTCGCACCTGCCCACCGGCCTCACCTTCTCGGGCGTCGAGGGCACCGCGGACGCGCTCACGTCGGTTGTGCTCGGCGGCATCCCCGGCGCGAACGCGGGGCAGCAGGGGAGCTGGCACGTCCTCGACGCGATCCTCGGACTGACGCACGAGGAGCCCTTCCTGCGAGAGCAGCGCCGCCTCATGCCCGCCTCGCAGCGCCGCTTCGTCGAGCGCTTCACGGCCGAGCCCGCCGTCAGCCTCCGCGCCTTCTTCGACGCGCACCCCGCCCTCGACCGCGGGCCGTACACGCGCGCGGTCGCGTCGCTGCGTGCGTGGCGGCGCGAGCACATCTCGCTCGCCGGGATGTACCTCGTCTCGTTTGCCCGCGAGTTGGAGGGCGATCCGGCGCGCGGGCCGCCAAGCAAGAGCCCGCTGCACGTCAAGGGCACCGGCGGCTCCGAGGCCAAGGGCGGCAAGGCAAAGGGCGGGTTTGTCAAGCTGCTGCAGTCGTACATCCGCGAGACCGTCGACCCGCGCGCCGTCAAGGAGGCCCGGCCTTCGGGCGGCGCGAGCGAGATGGCGTGCCCGCTCACCTCGGCGAAGCAGTACCTGCGCGGGCCAAAGTTCACCAGGCAGCAGTACGATGAGGCGCGGCGCGGGGCCAGGGCGCGGCCGGACAAGGAGGGCGCGCTCGTCAGGGCGTGGAGCGGCGGCGGAGATCATGGCCCAGAGGGGGACGAGCTCGGCATCTAGAACAATCGCGACCTTGTACTTTGTGTTACACACACTGTATATGCGATCGTTGACACCGGAGTGGCGCGATCTTTCCATGTGCATGTCGCCCCGCAGCCCATCTGTGGCACCTCGTGTCGTCCCGGTCCGCCGACCGTGTTCTTTGTGTGAACTGTGTCTGTGATTGTGGTTTTTGTGCTGCACGTGTGCTGTGCTCGCTACTCAGTTTGTGTGTGTGTGTGTGCATTTCTCGTCACGTGAGCGGTTTGCCGTTTGCGCGCATTCGCCATCCCGCGCAGTCTCGTCTACTGTGTGACTTCTTGAACGTGTAGAGAGAACTCGCTACATCTCCAGCCCTGCTTTTTTTGAGTTCGTACCGTAGAGAGACAGACAGGAGTCAGTACAGAGGTCGGTGACTGTCTTTGACTCAGAGGGAGAGTGTAGATCTGTCCTCACGATTTTGGGCCCTACATTTCTTTCTTTGATCTCAATAGATCTCCACGCGCAAAACGAAAAGGTAGCTGAGTCTGTCCCCGCCCACGTGATCCCCCCCCGGCCGGCCCCGCGCGCGCGGCTCACAGTGTCCGGCTCTCCCCGCGCGGCGAGCACCTCGGTCCGCGCGCGGAGTTTACCCCACAAGGCACCAACCCCCCCGCTTCCCCCCCTCCCTCCCCGTCTCAAGCGAACAGCGACAACACCCCAGCACACATAGCAGTGGTGCATGATGACCCTCCGGCGAGCGTGTCCTCGACGGAAGCTCCCAAGCTCCACCCAGAGAGTCCGCAGGGTGGTCGCCACGCGCGAGCAGCGCTATGAGCGCTGGGCCGCCTCCGCTGCCATCCTGGCGGCGGTCGCCCTGACCCTCGCAGCGGCAGCAGCAGCACCCCTTGCCTCGGCAGCGGCCGCAGCCTCCTCAAACGCCGTCTCGTCCCCCTCACGCGCCGCCGTGGCCTTCTCCATCGCCACCGTGGCCTTCTCCACCGCCCCCTTGGCCTCCTCAAGTGCCGCCACGACCTCGTCCATCGCCGCCCTGGCCTCCGCCTGCGCCGCCCTGGACTCCGCCCGTACAGCCTTGGCCACAGCCAGCGCCGCCACGGCCGCCGCCTCCGCCTCCGCCTCCTCCTCCGCCTCCTCCTCCGCCGCGTCCGCCTCAGCGTCCAAGCGTGCCGCCTCGGCCACCTCGGCCGACGCAGCGGCCTGGCTCTCCGCCGTGATGCCGAGCCGCATCCTCTCCTCGGTGAGCGTCTCGAGAAGCAGGAGAAGCCTCGCCTCCTCGGCCTTCTTCGCCGCCTCGGCTGCGGCTGCCTCCGACGGCGCCTCGGCAACCTCCTCGGGCTCCTGCGACGGCCCCGCCCCGCCCGCCCCGCCGCCCTTCTTCTTCTTCTTCTTGTTCTTCTTGCCCTTGGCGCGCTTCTCCGCCTCGACCTCCGCCAGCAGCTCCTCGGCGTGCCGCGCCGCCTCCTTCTCCTCCGCCGCCCTCTGCGCCGCCCTCTCCGCCGCTCCCGCGGCCCACGCCGCCTCCGCCGCCGCCTTCTCCGCCGCCTTCTCGGCCGCCGCATGCTCCTCGAGGGCGCGCACGCACTCAGTGTGGCCCTTGTGCTTGGCCCACTGCAGCGCGGTCTTGCCATCTGCACTGCACAGTGTCACGTCTGCGCCCGCCCGCAGCAAGCAGAGAAGGGCGGCGGGCTGGCCGTAGAAAGCGGCCCGACTCAGTGCGGTGTCGCCGTTGTTGCACTGGACGTCGATGTCCGCGCCGTGCCGGATCAACGAGTCGACAGTCTGCTTGTGGCCTCTGCCGGCGGCGTTTATTAGTGCAGTGTTGCCCAACTCGTTTCGCTGGTCGATCACCGCGCCGTGCCGCAACGCCATCTCGACCAGCTTCTCGTGGCCATTCACGGCGGCGCCCATCAGCGCGGTGGCGCCATTGCTGGTCTGCAACGAGACATCCGCGCCGCGCTGGAGCAGCACCTCGGCCAGCCCCTCGCGGCCGCAGATCATTGCGAGCATCAGCAGCGTCATGCCGCTCTCAGGGCCGTCCGAAAAGACGAACTCGAACGCCGCGTCGACCTGCCCGCCGCCGTCGAGCCACGCCAGCACCGCCTCCTCATCGCCTCGCTCAGCCGCGTCCAAAACCTCCTTATGCACCGCCCCGCCGCTCGGCTCGACCTCCGCGCCTCCCTCGCCGCTCGGAGCAGAGGCCGCGGCACTCGCACCCACCGCCACTGCGCCGCCTGCCGATGGTGCCTTGCTCCGGCGCGAAGCCACCTCCCCGAGATACGTCTTGAAGGCCTGGAAGCACTCGGCGTGGCCGTCCTCCTTGGCAATCTGTAGCGCCGTCCTGCCCGCCGCATCGCGCAACGTCATGTCCGCGCCCGCCCGCAGCAGGCGGAGAACGACGGCGGGGCGGTTGAAGCAGGCGGCGAGAATCAGCGCGGTGCCACCGTTCATGTCTTGCAGGTCGATCTCCGCGCCACGCCGCAGCAGCAGGTCGACCGCCCGCTCTTGTCCACCCTGGGCGGAAAATACCAGCGCCGTCCCCATCTCCGCTCCGTGCTGCAGCAGCATCTCCACCACCCGCTCGCGGCCACGGAAGGCGGCAGCGTTGAGCGCAGTGGTGCCGCAACTGTTCTGCAGGTTGATGTCCGCGCCACGCTTCAGGAGGAGCTCGACAATCTGCGCGTGCCCACTCTGTGCGGCGAGGATCAGCAGGGTGTATGGAACCGTGCGGCCGCTGACCTGAGAGGGTAGCTCAGCGAGATTGTTGGCTTTCCCGCCGTCATTCAGCCACGATCGCACCGGTCCCACACGGCCGTCCTCAGCCGCCTTGAGGACGTTCTTTGGGACTTCACCACCCGGCGCGCTGTCAGCAGACGGCGGCGGCGGCGTGCGGAGCGCGGCGTTGGCGCGGGAGCGCGAGGCGGGCATTGTCGTTGGGCTCTGAGTTTCACGTAATCGCACAACCCCGTCTTCACACCTCTTCGCGCGCGCCCGAGTGTGGGAACAGCTGAACGCTGATCGCCAAGGCTCGCCCCAGCAGACTCGCACTCGGGGCCCGACTAAACGAACCCCGAGAGGCGTGGGAGTGCCTCGCCAGCCCCATTCGTGTTACCTCGGAGGACGCGACAGAGGAAGTGGAAGAAGCGACAAGTGAAGAGAGAGAACGACGCGTCGAGAGTGGGGGACGACCGCGTCCGCGAGGTGGCATGAAGGTTGCAGCGAGAATCGGCGAGGGACTGCGAAGAGAGATAGGAAGCGGGCAGACACCCAAGGGTGGGCGACGGCTAGCAACACACCTTCCTTCCAGTGAAATCCCTGTGTGGTGGCGGCGTGCCGTCCTCCCATCCCTCTTTTGGGGCGATTATTTTGTTTCTTTCTTTTCCGGAAGCTCCGACGAGTTGGGGCCAGCCCCACTGGGCGTGGGCGAGTGATCGAAGTGATATGATGCTCGTGGACCTAGATGACGGAAGCGAGGACTCGCTGTTGGGAGCGATCGTGAAGGTGCTGGCCGAGTCGGTCCTCGCTTCCGCGGTCGCCCTCAAACGATGCAGCCGCCGCTTCAAGGTACTCGCCGCCCCGCTGGTAGCAAGCGCTGTGGCAGAGACAAACCAGAAGTGGCGGGATGCAGCAGCCAAAATCGGCTGCCGAGGCGGAGCTGCGATAACATACGGGCTCGAGCGCAACGAGGTGCTGACTAACCTCAACCTCAGCCACAAAAACATCCGCCACGAGGGGGCCGCTGCGACCGCCGAGGCGCTGCGCGGCAATGCGGTGCTGACCACCCTCGCGCTCCCGGCGCGGAGGGCGCAGCCGCGATCGCAGAGGCGCGACGCGGCAACGAGGTGCTCACCGACCTCAACCTCTGCCACAACAAGATCCGCGACGAGGGCGCCGCTGCGATCGCCGAGGCGCTGCGCGGCAACGAGGTGCTGACCTCCTTGGACGTGGGTTTCAACGGCAGCCCTCGGCATCGTCCGTGTCGAGCGGCAGCGCAACATGCTGACCTCGCTGGGCTTGGCTTGCTGCAGCATTGGCACGACTGGCGCTGCAGAGATCGCCGAGTACATGTCGGGCAGCGAGGCGCTGACCACCCTCGACATCGGCATGAATCTCATCTTCGCTGAGGGCGCCAAGGCGATCGGCGAGGCGCTCAAGGTCAATGAGGTGCTAAAGTCGCTCAACCTCAGCGACAACAGGACTGGCCCCGAGGGCGCCAAGGCGCTCGGCGGCGCCCTCGCGGTTAACGCGGTGCTGACCGACTTGAACCTCCAACAACAAGATCCGCGACGAGGGCGCCGCTGCGATCGCCGAGGCGCTACGGGGCACGAGGTGCTGACCCACCTGAACCTCCGGCACAACCACTTCGGCGATGCGGGCACCGCTACGATCGCCGAGGCGCTACGGAGCAACCAGGTGCTGACCACCCTCGACCTGAGCAGCAACGGCCCGATCACCGCTCCGGTCGACCTGAGCGGTGAGTACGATGCATCCGGCATCGCGCTCGCGGACGTGGAGGTCAACGAGGTGCGGCTGAAAACACTCTTCCTCGGCAACAACCGCATCCGCGCGGAGGGTGTTACTGCGATCGCCGAGGCGCTGCGAGGCAACGAGGTGCTGACCACCCTCGATCTTTGCGCAAACGATTTGGGCGACGAGGGGAAGGGAGTGATTCGGGGTGTGCGGTGAGCGGGCGGGTACGGTTCAAGCTCAAGATGTGAGTGTGAATTCTGAGAGTGGACGGCGCAGGGTGCTGACCTCTTGGACGCGGGCTTCACCGAGGAGATGGCCCTCGGCACCGTGCGTGTTGAGCTCGGCTGCGCAACAAGCTGACCCCGCTGGGCTTGGCTGCCCGCGGCATCGGTCCGGCTAGCGCCCGAGAGTGCGTTTTACGAATTCTTTGTGTACCTGTGTTAGTCCCAGTGCGTCCCGTGCAGTGTTGTGCGAGGCACCAAATTTTCTTCTTTTGGAGCCGGTGTGTGTGCCAGTCCGCACCAGTCCGCGCCCTTGTCGCGCCAGCGTGCTGTGAGCGAGGATTGTTTATTCTTTTGGCACTGGAGGGCTCCTCACAGGATTCGGTACTTCAGCTTGGATAGTATCATCGTATCCCAGATAATACCCCAGGGCTATACTCTGATACCCTCTTGAGAGGATCCGCATTGGGCCCCTAGAGGATAGGTTGATACCCTCGTGGGTTACCCTTCACACCGGACACGACCCCCCTCTCTTCGCGCGCGCGCGCCGAAACAGACAAGAACGCGCTCGAATGAGCGTCGCGCAGGAGGGAGGCGAGCGCACCACTAAGCAATGCGCTGGGCGAGGAGGGCGACAATTATTGGGCGGCCTGCGGCCGCCAGCCGGCTAGCGGGCTAGGCAGCCTTCCGCCTCGAGCATAATCGCTGGGAGAGTCACCTGGGTCCTGGCTCTTTTAGGCGATACCGCATAAACGCTAAAAAGAAACGTCGCCGGCAGTATATGCGGTGCAACCAACGCGCGAGTGTACGTACGAGTCGTTCCTACGAGTCTCGCTCGTCTCTCGAGTGTCGGGGTAAAGTCGCGTACGGCCTCGCAGCTCGCTTCCTAGGAAATCATGATAAAAACGCTATAATTATAAACCGGCTCGGCACATATCAACACGCAAGAGCGAAGAGGACACCCCCCCACCTCAGTGTCACCATTTGTCTGTGTCGTGTGAACCACGGTCCATCCGCCTCACGCACATAGGACGCATATATTGTATTGCAGTATACGTCTATCTGGTCTCTCAAGCGTCACCCGACCCAACGGATCGTCTTGTCTCCTCCGCGCGGCCAATCCGCGCCTCTTCCCCACCACGCCGCGCCTCCTCTGCGGCCCACGTGCCGCTCCCCTCGCGCAAGACCTGCACGTACACCCGCGCCACGCCGCGCCGGCGAAGCACCGCCTCCACGCCGCGACTGACCGCGCAGGCTCGCCCCTCCCCGCCGCCAAAGCTGCCGCTGCTGCCCGCTGGCTCCACCGTCACCGTCGTGGTTGCCGTGGAGGAGACCGCCGTGTGCATCCAGACTCGTATGTCCGCGACGCGGCGCACGCCTGGCACAGCGGCAACGATCTCCGAGGCGAGCTCCTCGGTCGAGCCTGCGGAAAGGTTCAGGGCTTCCGTCCCAAATACAAAAAGCAGTCGGAGACCGAGGGGGGGGAGGGGGGGAGGGTTGGGGACGGGGGAGGGGGGAAGGAGGAGGAGGAGAGGGAGGAGGCGGAGGGGGAGGGGGCGGAGAGGGAGGGGGCGGAGAGGGAGGGGGCGGAGAGGGAGGGGGCGGAAAGGGAGGGGGTGGGGGTGGGGGAGGTAAGGGGGTGGAGAAAGGGGGGGGGGGGGCGCCTGGCGCGTCGAGGCCGGCGGGCGCGCAAAGCAGTAGCACCCTCGCCGAACGCCGCACGAGGGGAAGCGCGGAGGTGAGGAGCAGGGTGGCGGTGAGGAGCGAGCAGACTGGGTCGACCCAGCGCCAGCCGTACCACTCTGCGGCCAGGGAGGAGACGATGGCGCCGACGGAGCCTGCATATGGTCAAGACACCACTTCCTCACCTCCTGGGACCCAATGCTGCCTCTTCTGACTGTCGTCGCTGTCTGGTCTCCGTTGTCGGTACGGTGTCCTCTCAAGCGCGGGGTGGAGTACAAGAGCACGCCTTCCGCTTCTAGCCTCCGTGCTGCCAGGTGCGGGGAGATACGGGGGGAGATATGGGGAGATCTTCCGCTTCTAGGCGACGGAAAACCGCACGCGTCCGCGAGTGCGTGCATGGCGACTGCACGCAAGTTGTCTCCGCCCGCGCCGGCCGCGTCGCCGCCCGCCGCGCAGCACTCCCCGCCTGCGTGCATGTGCGAGTGCGAGCAGAGCGCGAGGCCGATCAAATTCACAGCCAGGCCAGCCGCCGCCGCGGGCAGCGCCGCGCCGCCGTCTATCGGCGGTGGCGCGGCGGCGAGGAGTCGTCGTGCCGCCTCCGCGCCCACGCCGCCGCCGATGAGCAGCAGCAGCAGCCCATTGGCAAAGACGGCGAGGGGCTCGGCGCGGCCGTACCCCGCGCCGAAGGATGCGTCGGCGGGCAGCGAGGCGGCGGCGGCGGCGGCGAGGCCGACGGCGACGGCGGCGGAGTCGATGAGCATGTGAGCGCCGTCCGAGACGAGGGCGAGGCAGTTGGAGCGCAAGCCGGCGACCACCTCCACCCCCATCAGCGCCAAGTTGAGGGCGAGGAAGGCGGAGAGGCGTTGCGCCTAAGCGGCACGGCACGCGGCATGGCTGGACGAAACCCGCCTTGGAGGCTACAGATCTACAAGGTCTTAGATCCGGCTAAAGGGACACCAGGAACTAGAGGGACTACTAGAGGGACTAGAGGGAGAAGAGGCACTAGAGGGACTACTAGAGGGACTACTAGAAGGACTAGAGGGAGAAGAGGCACTAGAGGGACTACTAGAGGGACTACTAGAGGGACTAGAGGGAGAAGAGGCACTAGAGGGACTACTAGAGGGACTACTAGAAGGACTAGAGGGAGAAGAGGCACTAGAGGGACTACTAGAGGGACTACTAGAGGGGCTAGAGGGACTAGAGGGACTAGACGACTAGACTACAGGGACTACACTGTGACGCGCGCTGCACGTCGCCACCCTCTCCCGCCGATCTCAGACTCTGCCGGGGCACCTGCGGCGAGCCGAGCAGCGCGCGCCTCGCCTCTCCGCCCCAGCCGCGCGCCGGTGGCGCGGCGACGGGCAGCGGCGGCGGCGGCGCGGCAGCCGCGCCGCCTCCTCCTCCGTGGAGCGCCCAAACTCCGTAGACGACGGCGGCAGCGCATGCGCAGAGGAGGGGTGTAGCGGACGCTGCGCCGGTGGCGCTCCCCCGCAGCGCGTCGAGGAGGAGGGCGGCTCCAAAGGCGGCTGCGACCGAGAGGGCGGCAGCGGCGGCGGGCCGCAGCCAGGCGTGCGCCGCGGCGGCCGCGTGCGCCGGCAGAACCGTCGCGAGCCAAGCGACCGCGAGCGGCGCCGCCGTCGCCGAAGCGAGACTGGCGTGGACGTCCTCGCGGCTCTCATCTCTGCCCTTGGATTGGGCGAGTGTCGCCTGGGAGGACGAGGCGTCGATCTCGGTCAGTCGCGGCCAATCTTCGAGACCGGCAGGCCCCTTCTCGGCGGAAGCGGCGGCGGGCGGCGGCAGGGAGGGGAGGGGCGCAGGGAGGACGAGCAACGCCTGAGCAAGCAGTAGCAGCAGCAGCAGCAAACCGGCTGCAGCGTGCGTCAGCGCCTCCAGCCGGTTTGGCCCGACCTCAGCCTCGAGGCGGCGGCTCGCCGACCTACATGGTGAACACCAAGTCGGTCTCTGTCCGCCTGCCCGTTCTCGACTGTCCGTGTGGCGTGCGATCTCTGGGCCCTGGGCTGCGCTTTTGTGTGAAGGCCAGCGTCAGGGCGGGAGACGGTGTTGTGCATTGTATTCAGAGCACCGCGTGAATGCGAGGGGTGCGAACACGGTGAAGACCGCGGAATACGGTCGAATACAGCGGAGGGCGTGTCCTCTCGAGTGGAGGACAAGAATCCGTCTTCCGCTTCTAGACTCGCCGACCGCCGCAGCGCGTTGATGGCGGCGGCGGCAGCGAGCGCAGCCTCGCCGGAGGCCGAGTCCAGGAGCGAGCGCGCAGAGTCGTACACCCCGCTCTCGGGCTCGAAGAAGCGCTCCGCCTTGCCGCCGCCGCCATCGCGGTGGTGCATGCCGTGGGTGAGCAGCAGCGCGGCATAGGCGAGAAGCAGGGCGAGAAGGCCGCGCCGCCGCCCGCGCTGCCGCACCGGCCTGCCGGAAAGGGCCGCGAGCACGTTCGCCACGACGAGCTCGGAGTAGTCGAGCAGGGTGGTGCGCAGCGGGCCGCACCGCGCGAGGCCGAGCGACCACAGGCAGAGCGACGCCGCACACGCTGCGCCAGAGAGCAGCAGTGCGTGCGCGTTTGCGAGGGCGGCAGCAAGCGGCGGTCGGTACGCCGCCGCAAGCGTGGCGGCGACGGCGGCGTGCGTGGCCGCCGCGAACACCGGCACGCTGATCCGTCCATGAAATAGGCTATCACTGCCGAGGTAGAGGGCGGCCGCCCTCAGGCACTGCGAGAGCACGTGCGCCGCCGCCGCCGCCGAGCGGCTGGCCGTGCGGGCGGACGCGAGCGGCTTGCGGCCCATGAGGAATGTCGTTCGCTGTCTGTCCGCTCTCGACTTTGCGTGAGAGCGGCGTGGGCGCGTCACGACCAACGACCACCGCGACGGAGGATTTGGGCTCCTTGTCGACAGGGAGGTCGTCCGGGTGCGTCTGGGGGGAAACTCACGCCCGGAGGCGGATGGAGATGGGGGGGGCGCCGCGCCGCCGCCGCCGCCGTGCCGCCTTCTCCCGCAGCTCCCGCTTTGATCTCCCTCAGCACTTCTCCCCAAAAGACCTGGCTGCGGGCTGGCGAGGGCGGCGAGGGTGGGAGTGCTCTTGGGCGGCGTGTGCGAGCGCGCGCGGCATGTGATCTCTCTCGCGGGGGCGCGTGCCATCGTCGCTTCGTACAGACAACGACCACGCCGCAATCGTCGCCGTCGCGCGACACGTTCCCGTTAGGCAGGACTGTCCTCGTCGAGAGTGTGTGCCGCCAAGGCGGGACGCACTCAGGGACACTCAGTGCCGACGGGACGCGGCTCGAGAGACGACTCCCGCGAAGGCACGGCTGGCATCCGTGGCGTGGGGCTCGTCTTCGAAAAGTCGGGCATGGCTCTACCCGCAACTTTCTCGCTAACACTCGCGCACCACCGTGCTCGATGGCCTAGTTGGCGGCCGATGTTCGACGACCAAAGCTCCGGACGCCGCGGCCAAAGATCCGCGCACAGTCCCAGGGCTCGTGGTGAGTGTGGGGTGTGCCTCACGAGGCGGAGAGGCCGCGTGAACTCCCGTAGAAGCTCGCGAAGTGCGGATTTGGAGCGCCGCGCCGGACCTCCGCCGGGCCCGCGCCGCCGGGGCCACGGGAGAGGTCAGAAATCGTTTTGGGGGGTAGACTACTACAAACCAGGGCACAGCTCAGGTAGGTAACAGGAGCGGGGCGGAGCGTATCGCCATCGGCGCGCATCGCGGCTCTATCGCGACAGAGGGAGGCCAGGGGCTGGGCAGTGTTCACCCACATGACAGGGTCCCAGGGATTCCTCTCTCGAATAGGACGTTGTTGCACCCAGCGGCCACGGGGTGCGCGGGCCCACGGTATCAGCTATCAAAGTGTGTGTGGGGGGAGAATGGTTTGCGGCGGGGCGGCGGGCAGCGGGCGGAGCGGAACCCAACGTACTGTCGTCAGCTAGGTGCTGTGGTCAGCTACTAGTTCGTCGGCTACTTCCATCGCGATGCCGGAACAAGAGCATCAGACTACTCGTAGATGCGCCGCCTCTTCCCGCCCGTCGGCGGCTCCGTCTCCGGATCTCGAGCCGCCGCTGGCAGCGGCGGCGCCGATGACGGCCCCTGCTGCGCCTGGTCCTCCTTCGACGCCGGCTCGGCGGCGAGCTGCGTCGCCGCCACGCCGCTCGCCGACGCCGCGCCCGCCGCGCCGGCCTCTGCCTGCGTGCTCCACGCCGCTGCGAGCGTCGCCTCGTCCATCTGCAGGAGCGCGAGCCCCCAGCTGGCCGCACGCTCCACGTCGCCCATCGCCTTCTGCGCCAGCGACGCTGTGGACGGCAGCTCGCGCGCGGTAACAATCTTGACCAGGCCAGGCGACGTCGACACCACCGTCGGGTCAACAGGCTCGCCCGCATGCAGCTGCATCGGGTACGGCGAGACGCGCTTGGGGGGGTCGCCGTCCGCACCCGCCTTCACCTCGAAGCAGAACTGGTGCGGCAGCATGAGCATCGCCGTCCCGGGCGCGCTTCGCAGCAGCGACCCGAGCCGCAGCTCGTCGCGGCGAGGGCAGGCGTGCATGCCCGCGGCGTGGCGCACGAAGAAGGAGAGGCGCGACGAGCCGCACATCTGCTGCGCGGCGCGCCACCGCACGCGCCCCGCACCGGCGCCGCGCTGTATGCTCGCACGCACGACATCCGCGTGCGCCGGCGTCGGCGCGAGGGTGAGCTCGAGCGCAACCGCCCCGTCCTCGTCCATGCGCTGCCACACGGCCGCCTCGCTCGGGCAGAAGGCTCGCAGAAAGGCGATCTTATCGCCCGAGGCCTTCGTCGGCGCGCCGGGCGTGAGCACGTCGCATCGAAGGCCATGCTCACCGTGCTGGTGGATGGTGAACGGGCCGGCTTGCATCGACCTGTCGGCGACGGCGCTGTGCAGCCGGGCTGCGAAGGAGTGCATCTCATCGGCCCACGCCTTGACCGGCTTGGCCCCGCCGTCAAGGTCGAGGATGCGCGTCCAGCAGGGTGCGAGCCCCTTCTGCTGGAAGGCCGTTTGGCCGGGCAGTCCCATCGGCACGGACAACTCGGAGAACCGAATGAGTGAGCCCAGGCTGTCCACCCAGCTCGGCGGCGGGAGGGGGGGAGGAGGGCCCTCGGGGCAGGAGCCCGGCGATTGGGCCTCTGCGGCTGCGGCTGCGGAGGCTGCGCGGCTGTGCCGGGACGCGTCGCGAGCCTGCCGCTTCTCGGCCTCGGCGAACTGCTTGAGCTCTGCCTCCTGGAGCTGCCTGCACCGTTTGGAGTCCTCCTCTCGCTCGCGCACGCCGGCCCGCAGCAGCTCGAGCAGCCGCGCCTCGAACGACCCCTCCTCCGCCGGCGGCAGGTTGCACCCCTCGAGCCGCGCCACCGTCAGCGTCTGCACGTCGACGCCGTCGCCGAGGGCCGGCAGCAGCGTGGCCGAGACAAAGGCGTGCACCCGCCGCGTCGTCTCGAGCAGCGCCGCCAGCGTGAAGTCGGACGCGCTCTTGGCGTTGATGCAAGACGGACTCAGAAGATTCCGCACGCGGCACTCGCCCTCCAGCCTTCCCGCCCGTCCCGACACCATCAGCCGCACGAGCGACTCGAGTCCTCCACTGTCTGGCGGCACGGCGCCGGCGGATGCGAAGCAGCGGCTGATGAGCGGCGGCACGGCGCGGGCCAGCGCGGCGCGGCCGTCGCTCGACGGAGGCGGCACCTCGCTCGGCAGGTGCAGCGCCGCGGCATCCTCGGGGGAGGTGGTGTGGAAGAGGCGGAGCTGCTTGGCGAGGGCGCGAGTGTCGTGCGCGTCCTGCACGCCGGCCCGCAGCAGCTCGAGCAGCCGCGCCTCGAACGACCCCTCCTCCGCCGGCGGCAGGTTGCACCCCTCGAGCCGCGCCACGGTCAGCGTCTGCACGTCGACGCCGTCGCCGAGGGCCGGCAGCAGCGTGGCCGAGACAAAGGCGTGCACCCGCCGCGTCGTCTCGAGCAGCGCCGCCAGCGTGAAGTCGGACGCGTTCTTGGCGTGGTCGCAAGACGGCTTCAGAAGACTCCGCACGCGGCCCTCGCCCTCCAGCCTTCCCGCCCGTCCCGACACCATCAGCCGCACGAGCGACTCGAGTCCTCCACTGTCTGGCGGCACGGCGCCGGCGGATGCGAAGCAGCGGCTGATGAGCGGCGGCACGGCGCGGGCCAGCGCGGCGCGGCCGTCGCTCGACGGAGGCGGCACCTCGCTCGGCAGCGCCGCGGCATCCTCGGGGAAGGTGGTGTGGAAGAGGCGGAGCTGCTTGGCGAGGGCGCGATTGTTGTGCGTCGACACTGGTGCAACCTCGCAGACGCTGCACTTCCGACGCGCCGCCCCTTTTTTAAGCTCGAGAGCGGAGAAGTCAATCCGTGGCTTGCACTGCTGGCACGCGGTGCATTTGAGGGACTTCTGCAGGAGCCTCGACATCGCTGGCTGTTTCGTCATCTCTATCCTCATCATGAAGTCTGCGAGCCGGCCCGTTTGTCCGCGAGCCGGCCCACTGTACTTGATCGAGGTGTAGTGAAGTGCAGGGAAGCGTTGGGGTAGCTGCGTAAGGCAGTTGCCCTGCTCTAGCCTCGCCTCGCTTGCAACGATCGGCAGCGTCGGGTCAGGTGGCACGACGCTCATCGCGCCCGCCAGCGCTGCCGTGCAGGTTGCCACGACAAGGTCGAGCACGCTTCTATACGCTCGCCCAGCCTTCCTTTCCATCCCATTAGGCAGCCTGGGAACGGTGGCGATCAGAGGCAAAGCCTACGAGGGGTGGTGGAACCACATGTCACGGCTACTGCCGGCTCGACCCCACGATAGCCTCCGAAGGCTGACTTTGCGGCACCATCATCGGACGATGTCGACGAGTTGGGTCGCTCTTGCGGTAGCCAGATGACCTCTCATACTAGGAGCATCGGCCATGGCCGCATGGAGCGCGGGGGAGGGCGCTGGAAGCAACACGGAGCTCCGTTGGAGACGTTTTCAAGATTAGCGTGTCAGAGTGAAATGGCACTAGCCCGGACGTTCCGACCAGACTCCTCAACCAGCTGAGCTGCCGGCTCGGAGCGCTGGCGGCGGCAGTGGCGGAGTTGCCGCAGGTATTTTCCGAGTCCGTTGCGGGCCTCGTCGACGGAGGCGCACGAGTCAATGCGGTGGCGAGATTCAAATGATGCGAGCCCAGTGGCGTGACGAGCGCGCAGCGAGCCGCGAGGCGGTAGCGATCCTTCGTGCGCTCATCGATGACGCGAGCGACTCGGCGAGAGTGACGGCGCTCACGGCTCGGGTCCAAGCCCTGGAGGGGAGGGGGGCGGCGGGCAGTGAGGCGGCGGAGAGGGGGCCGGCGGGGGGGGATGGCGGCGGGGGGGGGGGCGACGGGGGGGGGTCCGCGGAAAGGGGGGCGGCGGAAGAGGGCCTGGTGGGGGAGGAGGGGGCCAGGAGGGCGGCGGCGGAAAGGGCGAATGCGGTGCGTGCGCACGCCGAATAATCATCCGGCCGAATCACCCCCATGCGCGACTCAAAATCATCGCAAACCCCGGCACGCCCTCTCGCTCCCTCGGGGCTGCCCGCGCGGGCGCCACACGCAGCGACCTCTGGAGCGCCGCGCGCACGTGCCCCGCGGCCCGCTCTCGCTCGGCGGCGAAGAATGCCTTTGCGCCGTCTGAGATGGTGCGCCGGGCGCTCTCGTCGCGGAGAAGCTGCTCCACCTTGGCGTGCAGCTCCTGGGGCGAGTCAAAGTAGGTGACGTGCGGCCACTGGTACCACTCGGCGAACTGGAGCCACTGGGCCGCCGCCGCAGGGGTGCACGCGTCGTTGGGCTCGAGGCCCAGCACGGCACGTCGGCCACACACACACACGGCACAGGCTCTTCTTTCCTGCCAGTCCCGTGCCAACCCGGAAGTGTTGTTGCCGGAGATCTTTTTCTCGAGATTCTCGAGGTGGATATCCTTTGGCCGCGTTGGGTAGCGAGGATTGGTGTGACGCGATCCACGCAGGCGTGGTTTCTGACGGCCGACCGTCAGTGCACGGAGTTGCCCCTTCTCCGACTGCCCCGGCTAGTTCACGAGTTTCGCGGGAGTGACCCCATGCGTCAAACCCGAGACCTAGCGCGGGTGGGTCGGAGGGAGCTCGCTGCCAGGAAGGGCGGTGTAAGATCTTCTTTCGGGGTCGGCGAGATTCTCTGGAAGGCGGCGAACGCGCTGTGGGCAGAACAAGCTGACGCGGGCCCGTCGCCAGACGACGCAGGGCAGAAGACGGTGAGGCGGAGCAGACGCGCAGGGCGAGACGAGGGAGGGAGCAGGACTTTGCGGAGATCAGCAGGAGGATGTACGAAGAGTTGGCCTGCACACGTTTTTCTCGCCAAGTACTATCTATATTCTTTTTCCGTACTCTTTCCGTATTCTTGTCCAAAACAGGGTCTATATTCTCAAATATTCTTCATATTCCTGCTGAAAATCGCTGAAAATCGCATCGAAAAAGAATATAGAATCGGAAGAATAACGTGTACAGGCCAAACGAAGAGATTAGGAGCAGCAGGGACCCGAGGGACCATGATCCATGTGGAAGACGGCTAGTGCTAGTCCCCCATCGGGAGGACGACCCCGGCTAGTCGCCGACCACACCCACAAAAGAACCCTGCACAAAGATCGCAAGGGCGGGGACCTGTTCTTTTTTACCCACCTCACAGGAGAGAGGTGTCCTTTTTTATTTATTTATTTGACGCGGGCCCAGACCTCGACGAGGATCGAGGTGACTTGGACCACCAAGAATTGGCTAGGGCCTGCGAGCAGAAGCAGCGTATCTCAGTCGTTCTTCACACACGGCCATCGCAGAGCAGATTGTGTGAACCATGGTGTCTAGCGCGCGCGATAAGGTTTTTGCTCGCCTTCCCTGGGACCCCGAGTTGCGTGACTGTCTCTGAACTCTGTGCGATTTCGGGCCCGGGGTTGTGCGTTTATGTGAACCATAGGACGTATTTCCTCGGTGCCTCGCCGTGGCCTCGCAGGAGTCGCTTTAGGCTCCCTGGATTTTTCGTGAGATTGGAGAGATCTGGTCGAGCAGCAGCTCGTCGCCCGGCAGAAAGAAAGTAGTCCCGGGTCAGTAGTAAAAAGAAAGAACGAAAACAGACAACCAACGAGCGGTGGGAGGAGGACAGGGTCCCCACCTGCACGAGCAGGATTTTGGGACAGTCCCAGTAAGCCCAGTGCACTTGGAGCTTGGAGTGCAGTTTGGGTAGCATCAACCAAAAAAAAATCTTTTTTCGCAATGCGACTTGAAGCTGCCCTGGCGGCGGCACACCGCCGCCCGCCGGTGCCAGAGCTCTGCTGCTCAGCCGCCTGCCGCGGCAGCTGGCGATTCACCCTCGGACCGCCTCCCTCTCTCCGGCAGCGCGCCTGACCGGTGCGGCCTCCGAGTCGGCGCCTAGCGCGCGCGATAAGGTTTTTGCTCGCCTTCCCTGGGACCCCGAGTTGCGTGACTGTCTCTGTGCGATTTCGGGCCCGGGGTTGGTTGTGCGTTTATGTGAATAGCGCCATAGGACGTAGTTTCTTCTCATAACAAGGCTGTGAATGCGCTGGCGAGTAGAGGCCCCGCCCACCCAGGGTACCCCTCTCGAGGGCTCTTTCGAGGCCTCGCCGGGGCTCTGCTCCAAGAGACCTCGGAGCATTTGCGTAAGTGGACCGCTGAGTGAATGAGGATTGTGCTTGAAAAAACCGCTAGCGCCCCGAGTGCGTCCTCCGCCTAGTCCATGCCCAAGTCCGCGACTCGAGCTCTGATCGTCGGTGCCTCCGTCGTGGGCCTCTTGCTGCTCCTCCGCCGCCGCCGGCAACGCCGGCTCGCGGCTCGGCTCGCCTCGCTCGTCAAGCTGTCGCTGCTGCCGAGCGAGCGCGGTCCGTTGCTGTGCATGAGCCCTGCCACGAGCACGGTCACCTTCTTCCGCGGCCCGCCCTATGTCGCCGCGGCGTCGCTCTCGCGGCGCGTGCGCCAGATCGTCGCCGCCAACCCGTGGCTCACCTCGGTGCTCGAGAGGGATCCCGACTCGGGCCTGATGGAGGCATACTACCACCAGCCGTCGCCAAAGCCGTGCTTTGAGGTGCGAGCGGACATTCTGCTCGCGAGCGGCGCAGCATACGATGAGATGGTGCGCATCGTCGACCCCGTGGTGTGCAAGACGAGCGACGCTTCCCTCGGCACGGGCGAGCGACTGTGGCGCGTGTGCCTAATCCCGGACGCCGACGAGCCGGATGGGCGGTTTGCCCTGGTCGTCAGCGCGAACCACTCGCTCCTCGACGGGCACGGCTTTTACCGCCTCCACACCATGCTCTCTGCCGGTGCGGCTGTCGAGGCGCTCAACCCCGTCCGCAAGCAGGAGTTGCCCACGCGGATCCTTCAGGCGTCGGGCGGCGAGGAGAGCGCCATGGCGGTGTGCCCGCCCGGCTTCCTCGCGCGCTTCCTGTTTGGCCAGCTGCGCGGCGCCCTCTTCCCCTCCACCGTCCACCTTGGCTTCCACGTCGACGAGGAATGGGTCGCGGCTCGAAAGGCGGAGGAGACGCGCGGAGACTCTTTTGGCACCATCGCCGACGGGGTGCGGCTGCAGGAGATGCGAGAGAGGCGGATGAGATACGCTCGGGGCGGCCGGACGCTCTCCGTGGCGGGCGACCCCCTGTATTCGGACAGCGCACGACGGTCGTGCCACCACAGGTTCCCTTTGTCAGCACAAATGACGTGCTCGTCTCCGCCTTCCTCAGCGCGCTCAAGTGTCGGTGCGCCATGATGGCCATCAACTTTCGCGGCAAGGTGGCGCCGCCGCCGGGACGCCGGCGGAAACTCTCGAGGATGAGGATGAGCCCGCCACGTCGTTCACCGCAGGTCACCGGGTGCGGCGAGGCGGACGCGGGCAACTACGAGGACTTGATGACATACATGCCTCCCGACTATGCGACGCCCTCGCTGATCCGCAGGAGCGTGACGGGGCGCGGCGGCGTTTACACACGAGCCGCAGAGCCGCGCACCGCACAGCTGACCAACGCGGAGCACCTGATGGGTGGCACATACGGTGCAGTCACCAACTGGGCATCGTTCGCCAAGGCTCGCCCGCTGCTGCGGAGCGCGAGGCGGCGGGGCGGGCTGCGCACTCACGGGGAGGCGCGGGCGGACGTGTACCGTAGGCGCTGAGCGTGGACGGGTGTGAGGCGGAGTACCTCCACTTACCGCTCTTTGACTTCCCAAAGGCGTGCCCCGCCTGCATATGTGGCTCGATGGTCATCTTTCGTCCCGGAGAAGGCAAGTCAGTCGCGGCCATGGTTGCGGGCTCGCAGGCGCTGATCGACGCGGTCAAGGCGAGCGGGATGGTGGGGCTGCCGCTCCACCTCGGGACACAGCGTCAGCGAGCGGGAGAGGGAAGGTAGGCAGAGCGTGGAGGCGGGCGCTCTGTAGAATAGACGGGGCGGAACACAGTCAGGCCACCGGACCTGGGCACCGGAACTTTGAACACAAAAAACACGCACCCCCGTGTGTGTTTTCTTCGCGCGCCCAACCCTGCTACCCTGGTGTGCGAGCCCCCCGCCAACCGCCGGTTCGCGATAGATCACCACCCCTTCAAGGTCGTGAGCTGTGAAGGTCGGGATTTGTTAATTCTTTTAGACAGAGGCGTTATTTCTTGTAGCACACGCGCCACCGCCAGTGCACAAGGCTAGTTCCATTTCACTCTGACACGCTACTCTTGAAAACGTCCAACTGAGCTCCGTGTTGCTCCCAGCGCCCTTCCTGCGACGCGCACTGACTGGCCGACTAACACAGGTACACCGCGGAGCCGCCCGCCAAGCACTAGCCCAACAGCGGGGCGACCGCCCCCTGCAGGTAGGTTTGCCGCTCCTTGGCCGTCGCGAAGCCGTCCCACTCGTAGAATGGAACGCTGATCACCCTCCAGCCAGCCGCCGCAAGGAGGCGCCGCTTGAGCAGCGTCGGCCCATTGGGTCTGCGCACGCCCCGGCCGTCGGGCAGCAGGAAGTGAGAGGGGCCGTCCACCTCGACCGCGATGCGTGACGAGGGCAGCGCCAGGTCGAGCGAGTAGCCGGTGCGCGGCTCGAGATGCTCCTCCTCGAAGCCGGAGCGGACGGCGGCAAGGGCAGCCGCTACCGAGCGATGCAAACCTGACGGCCGAGCTACGGTCGCCACCATAGCGTCGCGGCAAAGCTGGCGCTGGGGGGCGGGGAGGAGATGCTGCTGGCCGTCTTCGCCTCGCTCAAGAGAGAGCCAGAGCTGCCACTGGTGAAGCTGAACGCGGCCCTCCTCGCTCCACCTTGACGGATCCCGCGCGAGCGAGTCGCTGATCACGCGGGCGCAGTCGGCAAGCAGCGCCTGGTGATAATGGTCTGCCGCTGCATACGCCCACGCCGTGTTGGCCAGCTCCTGCGGCTTGAAGCCAGCCAGCCCGCCGCGCACCGCCGCCTCCGCCACCGCCGCGTACAGTGCGTCCGCAGCCACGCCCGCCGTCGCATACGCCCACACCGTGTTGGCCAGCTCCTGTGGCTTGAAGCCAGCCAGCCCGCCGCGCACCGCCTCCTCCGCCACCGCCGCGTACAGCGCGTCCGCAGCCACGCCCGCCGTCGCGTACGCCCACACCGTGTTGGCTAGGTCCTGCGGCTTGAAGCCAACCAGGCCGCTCCGCACCGCCGCCTCCGCCACCGCCGCATACAGCGCGTCCGCAGCCACGCCCGCCGTCGCATACGCCCACACCGTGTTGGCCAGGTTCTGCGGCTTGAAGCGATCCAGCCCGCTCCGCACCGCCGCCTCCGCCACCGCCGCGTAGAGCGCGTCCGCAGCCACGCCCGCCGTCGCGTACGCCCACGCCGTGTTGGCCAGCCCCTGCGGGTTGAAGCCAGCCAGCCCGCCGCGCACCGCCGCCTCCGCCACCGCCGCGTACAGCGCGTCCGCAGCCACGCCCGCCGTCGCATACGCCCACACCGTGTTGGCCAGGTCCTGCGGGTTGAAGCGATCCAGCCCGCCGCGCACCGCCGCCTCCGCCACCGCCGCGTACAGCGAACGCACCACCCTCGTTCGCAGGCCGCACTTTGCCGCACCGTGAGCGATGTTCGCCAGGTTACGTGCCTCGCACGAAGATACGAGGTCGAGCGTGCGCTGCACCAGCTGCTCAAGCCGCTCCTCGTGCCGCCGCTCGACGCGCTGCTTGCCCAGTTTGTTCCACAGGTTCGCAGCGTGGATGTGGTTCAAGCTCGCGCTGTGGGCAGCAGAGAGCGCGAGCAATGCGTCAGCGCTGCCAGCATTTGAGATGTGGCTGCTGAGCTGCTTAGCGTTGAGCTGACCACCGGCAGCAGAGCTCTGCCGCTCGTCGCGCGATCCCGCACCACGCATCGGCGGTCGCTCCCGGCGACCGCTGTGCTGAGGCTGCCCCTCGCCGCGTTCGCGCCGGTCATCGCGCCGATCGTGCCAGTCGCGCTCGCGCTCGCCTCTGCCCCGATCGTCGTAGCCGCGCCGCTCGTCATGCCGCCCGTCATGGTGCGGCCGTTGCTCGCCGCGCAATGGCGCGTCGTGCCATCGCTCAGCGGGCAATTGTGGCTCAGCGTGCCTTCGCTGCTCGCGACCACTGCACCAAGAGTCGTTGTAGCCGCGCCGCTCGTCATGCCGCCCGTCATGGTGCGGCCATTGCTCGCCTTGCCAACGCTCGTCGCGCCGCCGCAGCTCATCCCGCCGCGGCTCATCGCGTGATCGCGACCGCCGTCGCTCGCCCTGCCATCGCCACTCTTCGCGTCCGCACTCGGCGCGCCGTTGCTCATCACGCCAGCGACGCTCCTCGCTCCGATGGGACATGTCTGAACTTGGCCGTTCCAGCATATCTCCTATTTACTTGATAAACCAGCCGATCCAACAATCCTTTCACACCGGACGGTAGAGCCGAATCTGACGGCCAGAAAGCTCACCAGCCTCGCAACACATGCCATACCCATCCCTGACAAGCGTGGTTTGACTCACAGAAGCCGCAGGCTACGTGGAGACATAGCTACGTGACCACGCAAAACACGCCCGGAGACGGCTCACATCCCGATATCCCGGGCTCCAACAATGGTCCCACTATCGGGCCTATCGCGGTCCGACGCCGGTCTACTTGGCTGTCCCCAGCCCACAGCTACCGGGTGCACCCAGCCTGGCCGCAGGAGGGCGGGCCCGGGCCGAACCTCCCACTCAGAGGTCCGTTGAAGTCGATCCGCGGCGCCGTCCCGAAGCAGCAGCCGCGGGAGCGGGAGCGGAGAAGCTCGTACTCGGACCGACGCGATAATATTGACGATGCAATGCCAACTGTGCGTACAATGACTTGTACACACATCACCTGGGTCATGATGGTCCATATGAAGGATGGACAGAGTCACGCACATCGCCTACACGGTCTGAGGGTGGTGAGGACTGATACATGCCCGGGTCGGGTTGAGTGCGATCGGAGAAGAACAAAGTGTGAACTATGCGCCAAATGCGCTGGTCAAGGGGATAGGAGGATGTTGGCGTCGAGCGAGATACGCGCGTCCGGGCCGTGTCAGCGGAACGTGGCCAGATACAAAGGAGGAGCGTGGGGAAAGAAATCGCGGGCGTTTAGCTCCCCGGCCCTGGATGTGAGGCTACCCAGAGAACGGCTTGCGGGTCTGCATTCCCGGCCGCGATGTTCTCGCCGCCGTACGGGGCTCCCTGAGCGCTGGCGCGCTGCCCCGGCGTTCTCCCATCCTGTGAAATGTGGCTGAAGTAGTTGTTGTCGGCCATGTCTTGCGAATGCAGCTGTGACGCCCGCCACAATCGGCAATCAAAAGCGAGCGGTTCCGGGTTGGGGGCGAATGATGTCCCTCCAGGGCAGGTGAAGCCCTCAGCCCGCTTGGCGTTGAGCAAGGCAAAGTGCTCCATTTCCCGTGAGCTGCGGCAGCCCTCGGCACCAACCGTGCATGTGCCAGCATTGACTGGCGGCGAGGGTGAGGGTGGCGGCAGCGGTGAGGGCGAGGGCGGCGGTGGCGGCCGGGGCGATGGCGGCGGCGGCGGCAAAGTCAAAGCGTCAGACACGCACGAGGCGCCCGTCGTTTGTGGCCAATTTCCGAAGCAGTTTGCGAGCTCTAGCGTCGAGCCGTCGTCCGAGGAGGCGGTGCAGCGCTTCGCAGCGGAGGCGCCAGGCGCGACGCTCGCGCCGCTGCGACCGCCGCGCGGCGCGCTGAGCCGCACGCAGCCGCAGGGCGTCACCTTCCTCCCGAACGAGGAGCACCAGGGCGGCTTCGTCGCGCTGCTGCGCAAGGGGGAGAGGAGGCAGGGGAGAGGAGGCAGGGGCGGGGGAGACTCCTCGAGGAGGAGAGGTGGGTCTCGGAGTACTAGGGGACAGGAGGTATCATGTGGGTCTTAGCTGCGTGTCGTGTGCGTGCACACGGACACGCGCGTGCACATGCACATGCACATGTACAGCATGCACATGTGGCAAAAGAAAGAAGAAAGAGATTGATTTCTTTCTCTCAAATCCGCTGGGTTTGATTGCGGAGAGTAAACCCCCCGAGTGTTGCACCCCCCGACCTCACAGGCCGCCCTTCACTTTCCGCTTCCTCTCGCACTTGCCCCGCCGCACCGCGCTGACGAACAGCCGCCCGCTGCACGCATGACCCCCGCGACGCCTGTTGCTCACGGAACCCGCCGCGCCCGCACCACTCCCACCCATGCGATGCGCCCTCGCTCGTCGCCCACCTTTGCTTCGCGCCTTCGCCCTGCTAGGTGCCATCAACACAAGATGCGGTCGTCGGCCCTTCTGCTCGCTGCGCTTCCCACACTCCTCGCCTTTGCGTCGCAGCCAGCCCCGGAGTGCGAGGGCCCCACGAAGCCCGAATGGCATAGCTCCTTCCCACCAAAGGAGCTCCTCGCGCCGCTCATGGGCCGCGGGCCCGGAACCTCATCGCACCAGGACATCTCGGATTGGTATTTAGCCAATCTCCCGGACCTTCCCGGTCCGCCCGAGATGACGCCGAAGGAGATCGAGATGGCGAAGATGGGCGTGGTCGACTATATTGAGGCACGCAAGGCAGGGACGGTGACCTGCGAGGAGTACGTCTCCTTGCTGGTGATGCGCCTCCGCCACTACGCTTCGATGAATGCGTTCATGTACCTAGACAACGACCCAACCTGGCCGGAGCGGGTCATCGAAGCGGCCAAGGCGATGGATGCCAAGGCGGCCGCGGAGGGCCTCAACTCGATTGCCCCGTTCTACGGCCTCCCGGTTCCGGCCAAGGGCACCATGGCGACGGTTGACTTCAAGTCGTCGGCCGGGGCTGGCATGCTGCATGACATGACCGCCCTTCAGGACGCCCAGATGCTCATCGACGTCAAGGCCGCCAACGGCATCATTTTCGGGAAGACCAATGTGCCCGAGTTCGCGAGCTCCATCATCACCTGCAACTACGCGAGCGGTTGCACGCAGTCGCCCTTCGGCCGCCTCATGTCAGCAGGCGGCTCGAGCGGCGGCTCGGGTTCGGCGGTGGCGACTCGCCTGGCGCCCATCGCGATCTCCGAGGACACGGGCTCGTCGACCCGCATCCCCGCCACGCAAAACGGCAACTTCGGCTATGACCCGACCCGCGGTCACTACGCGAATGATGGCAACCCTGGCTTCTCGTACGTGCTCGACCAGACCGGGTTGAACGCGCGGTCGATGGAGGACATCATCGCTTTCGACAGCGGCTTGTACGGTTACAACGCCTCTCAGTTCGGCGGGAAGAAGATCTCCGAGTTGCGCATCGGCGTGCCCCGCCATCCCTTCGTCGACATGTACGTCCCGAAGTGCGCAAACCCCAACCAGAACTTTGGCTTCTACCAGTTCCCGTCGATGATGCGCCCGTCGGTTCCCTTCATGGAGACGTACGAAAAGGCAAAGGTGGCGCTCGTGGCAGCAGGAGCGACGCTTGTCGACGCGGAGTACCCAGACGACGATGGAGACGGCAACGACAACCTCGATGAGGCTCTCTTCTGCAGTGCGCTGACGCTCCCCCTCTCCCCAGCAGCAGCAGCAGCAGCGGCGGCGGCGGCGGCAGCAGTGGTGGTGGTGGTGGTGGTAGCGGAGCACCAGCCCCCCCCCCCCCCCTTTACCCCGCGCCCCCCCCCCCCTTCCTGCCGACCCGCTTGCGTGCGTCCCGCCCCGGCAGTGAAGATGAAGGAGAGCGATGAGCTGCCCGTCTCGTGGCCACTAGACATCTTCCACACGGCGTACGGCCAGATGTCACAATGGCTCTACCAATACCTCAACACCTCAATCTCGATGAAGGATCTGATCGAGGACACTTGGTCTGCTGGCGCGACTCACGCGGGCATCGGCTTTCTCACGGCTTCGCTGTACACTGATGAGCTCCACTACGTCTTTCTCATGCAGGAGATGCGCAAGAAGGCCATACTCGCGTGGAACGAGTACATGGACAAGAACAATCTCGACCTCATCCTCGCCACCGGCGCGTCGCACACGCAGGACTACCTGTGCTCAACCACAGGCACGTGCGACATCCAGCTGCTCGACCAGGAGACGGGCGAGTTCTACACGGCACAGGCGGGAGCCTCCACGAACGCGCTCTTCACTCTCTTCCAGCACAAGATCCTCCCGCTGCCAAAGGTCGTCGTGCCTGCCGGTGTCGACGCGACAGGCAAGCCAGTGCCGTACGAGTTCCTCGGTCGCGGCGGTCCAAAGGGCATGCCCGCCGGAGAGATTCCGTACGTTTACGACAAGGAGGGCCTGAAGACGGTCGATGCGGGCTTCCTACAGGACGTCAAGGTTGCCGTGGACGCCATCCAGGCAAAGGACCCATCCCTGAAGCCGACGCCGCCCGACATGCTCAAGGGCGCAGGGAATTTGTTCTGAGATAGCTCCCGGCGATGTGAGGGGAGGCTCGACCGCCCTCACGAGCTGGTGCGTGCACCCGGCAGGAGCCAGCAGGTGGGGAAGCACTCAGCGCTTAGTGTGTACCCTGTGGGGCTCGCCGAGCCGCCCCCTAGCGTGACCCATCTGCAACGCTCTCTATGTAGCAAGGTCAGTTAGCGTGACGCCTGTACCTCCTCGATGAAACGTCCGCGTGACTGTCTGTGTACACTTGACTCTCTCTCTCTCTCGCGATCGCGGTGTGTTCGTGTGACGTGTGTGGGGGAGAGAACAGATCGATATCGCAGCGCGTGTGCTCTTCGATGTATGGCCCTTTGTCTGTGTCGCTCTTCGCGGGCAGAGACTGGGGTGTTCCGTTCACCCGGCGCCGCCCCCACGCCCCAGGCCCAGCGCGCCCTCTGGACCGGGGCGTGCGGCGAAAGCCGAAACCGGGACACCTCTTCCTAAACGTTGATTTGTGTGAAGCCGCCATACTTTGATCGAGAATGTGTGGAGACCCTGCAGCTGCACACACGTTACGAGCATGCTCACACGCTCACCTATGGCTATGCAGGATCGTCACGTCCTAACTTTGGCCCCTTGTATTTTCACTTTGGTATCAGGCGAGGCCGCAGCCTGAGCGTCGCCGCCGGGCGAAGCGGCAGCGGCGGCGGCGAGTACTCGACAGCCTGCAGCTTGAAGGCTCTCATCGTCCCGCCGAGTGCGTCGCGCGGGTCGTCCGACTCCCTCTCGGGCCCGGTGAGCAGGCCGTTGGAGCGGAGGAAGTCGAGTGTCGCACGACGCCCTGCAGCGCAATTCACGGCGCCGCCGCCGTGACCCGCCTCCTCAAAGATGAGCTGCGTGACGTCATTCCCGGCGCCGCGAGCCGCCTCTGCAAAGCGAGTCGTCTGGTCGCACGGCACGACCTGGTCCGCTCCGCCCGTCAGCAGCAGCATCGGAGGCAGCTTTGGCCTCGACGCGAACCAGAGAGGCGACACGGACGCCGCATCGTCGGCGGGGTAAGCCTGCACAGGATAGCGTGCCCCGATAACGGCGACACTTAGCGAGGGACACTGCGCAAGGAGGGGGTGCGTCGACTTTTTCTTTTTTCTTTTTGTCCTCTCGGGGGAATGTTCTCTCGGCGCCCATGGCCTTCTGAGGTTTCGTACAGTACTAATGACGTCCTTCTTACCCCTTCGGACATCGGTGTGTGCGTATCTGTGGTGTCTAATTCCTCCGGTGTGCTACAGGCGGCTCAGCGCGACTGCTTCACGCAGAACATGCCGTCTTGGGGCACCAACCAATTGTCAGAATCCTTTCCGTAATAAGGCATCCTGGTTGCCTGTCCCTGTGTATTCAGCTCGCAGAATCTGTGTGCTGGCTCACCTCATAGGAATTGCATGCTTCTTCTGCCGCACAGAGTTGAGCGCAGATGGGATCCATACAGAATATGTAATGCCCCCCCGAGAAAAAGTCTGCATAGAGCGAGCCTGGGGTGCCTTCTGCTCGTCCACGCGGCGAGCATGCGGGTATTGCCTGCTCATCGCATGTGGGGTCGATCGGCGTCAAACGGTATGGGCATTTCTTGCCCCCGCAGTATTCTGGTTTGATGGCCTCACACAGCATCTTGTTGTACGCAGTCTGCCTCAGGCCCTCTGTCGGATACGGGTCTTCCCACACCGCCTTACTGAGACGCGTCACCTCGGCCTCATCCATGATTTTGACCGTCCTCCAAGCATTGGTGTGGACATAGCCTTTCTGCTCCTCGAAACCGTTTGCTGCACAAGGCTTCGGTGGCGGCCAAGAGTCGGGGTCAAGTCGGTCGGGAATGCCGTCGCTGTCCGAGTCGGCCGTGCCTTCCTCGGCATCGGGGATGCCGTCGCCGTCCAAATCGGGATCGAGGTTGTCGGGGATCCCATCGCTGTCGGTGTCGGGACTAGGCGGTGACGGTGCTGTAATCGAAGCCACGGGGGCCGCGCTGGGCGGGCAAACCTCGGAGAGGCGGCGGCGCTCCTCTTCCACAGCGGGATCGGCGAGGCGCTCGATGGACGAAGCATCGACCGTGTCGGCTGCTTTTGCACCGTCTTTGGATGCGGGCTCGCCCCTCATCGCGTCGAAGCGCGAAAAGCGAAACTTGGATGCGTGTGCGCTCAGCACCTCGTAGTCGGACGCCGTGCCCTCGATGGCGCCCTCGGCCTGGGCGCTGGTGGTGTAGAAGCCGGCCCAAGGGTAGAGGTCCTTCTTTCCGTTGAGTGGCTCTTGCCGCGTGTACGACTGGCCGATTAGGCCGTGTGGTCTGTCGCGAGATGGCGCGTCGCCGCGCGCGGAGAATCCGATGTCGAGGCGGTGCTCGGCGCCCGAGACCAGGCAGCCCTTGCACGTGTGCATGCCGTGCACCTTCATGGTCCAGTTTCGGAATGCGAAGGTGGCGCTCGAGTAGTCCATTGCCATCTTGAGGCCGAAGCAATCCTTCTTGCCGTGAGCGCCGAACTTGAAGGGGCGGCCGACGCAGGTTCCGTTCACCACCTGCCACCCAAAGTTGTTGGACGAGAGCTCCGACGCGAAAAATGAGGCCGTGGCGAGCTTCTGCGGGGAGAGCTGCGCGGTGATGTGCGCCTCGGTGAGAAAGGTGCCGTTGATGGTCAGGGCACCGCCGTGCATCTTGAAGACAGCCTCCTCCGTCTTGACGTTCACCGACAGTCCGGGCGCAGACAGGAAGTTGTAGAGCGTGTTGTGGCGGCCGCGCAGGTCGGCGGAGCCTCCGTAGGCAAAATTGATGTGCGGGTCCCGGAAGACATTGCTCTCGAGACACGGGTCTTCCGAGGCCAGCGGCATAACCAACAGCGGCAGCATTGCCCGCCAAAGGTCGCCTCGGCGGCCCACGATGCGCTTGGAACTGTGTGGCCAAGCCGACGGGCCTTGCGGCTTGCACGTTGGGTCCAATTTCGCAAACGCGATTACGCACACTTCAGAGCTGCACGCAAGGGGGGCCTCCCGGACGCATGATCCTAGCCCAATACGTCCCACGGAGCACGTTTCGATTTTTGACATAATTAAATGCACTGCCCCCGCACGGTACTAATAGTCGTAGTTTTGGCACCGCTGCCCTTCACGGCACCACACCGCCGCTTGACAGCCCGAGATTAGCCTAGCAGCGAGTGGGCATCGCCTGCCGGTCGGCTGGGCACGAGCCAAGCACTTGGGCGGCCGTCAACCGAGTCCGAGCGGCGCCTGAGGTGGGTGCCACGGCGTCTGCACGAAGGCGTGGCGGGGTGAGGAGCCAGGAGTGGTGAACACCTCCCCGTCGGGCGCGCGGCGCGTCGGATGGTCCGCCGAGGCCGCCGCCGCCCCGGCGGCGGCGATGGGGGCGGCGGGGCCGACCCGGTCGGCGTTTGTCGGCTCCACCTACAGAAGAGCAGTCTCTGTGGGTCGACGATACTAACTCGGTAGTAACGCGGGGCGGTGCTGTGCGGCGCCGAGTTGTGCGCGAGGCGACCTCCTGAGGCTACCTGAGCTGGCAATGGATGCCACCAGGACGCACGGCTAGCAGGAGCCAGTCAGGCATGCCCTGCTGTGGAGCAGAGCCGGCTGGCGCACCGGCGATACTAACTCAGCGCGCCGCGAGAGGCGAATCTGGGCGACTTTGGAGGCGCAGTTCTCGAGGTTGCCGTCGACGATTGATGTCGGGTAAATTGTCACTGCCGTCCGGGCAGGTCTTCTCTCAGCAGGCCGAGCGCCGTGGCCTGGCTCGGCTCGCCGCGAACGCCGCGAATTTATCAGGACCAAAACTCACGACACCTCGATACTAACAAAGACTCCGATACATGAGGTACCAACATCCATCCTGGGATGATCGCACAATTTATCCTGGGGCAGCTCTTACCCTAGCTGCCGTAGGCACCTTTGGGGGGTTTGACTCTCAAAGGAAGGTAGGGGCGGCAGTGAGTCGAGTGGGTTGGGGCCGGTTGTTGGTTGGCGAATGTATCTTGAACAAATAACTTTCTTTTTTCACGCCCTCCTTTATTCTTTTTTGCACGGCCTCCGCCTCCCAACCGCACCGCGCGCGCCTATCGCTAGCGCTGCTCACACTGCATCTGCGGTGAGGTCCGGAACGCTCGCATGTGAAGCTCATGTGACGTGCCATGGGAACAGCATATCTCGGGTTGACTCGGCCAGACAAAATCCCCGAGAGGCGTGGTAGTACCTCGCCAGGGTTGGAGCACTTGCATTTTCGCTTCGCTGTGCGCCCGGGACAGAGTGAGAGTCGCACACACACACACCCCGGGTGACTTCCTAGGTAGAGGGAGTAAATGGAGGACGACGAGTGCGACATACCCGTGCTGTTCGCGAATAACCGATGGCTCAAGCGTTGTGCTGATCTACGACGGAAGTGCGAAAGAGCTCCGGCTCTTTCTCTTCAAGCGTGCGTGGCTTTGGCAGTGGGCTCGGTGACGAGTTAGCCAAGATTTGCGAGATTCCCACAGGCTGCCGTTTTGCGATAGGCTATCGAGGTCATCGCAATGAAAACAAGGTGAGCATTGCTGCAGTATCACCAGAAAATGGAGGGAGTGCGGCAATGGTGCGGCCACCAGCCGAATTCAGTAACACACCCGTATTATCTCTCTCTCGTCTTTGCACTCTCTCTTGCCTCTTCGTTCGGTGCCAGTCTTCTACAGACAGCGTATAGCAGTCGTGCAAGCCCCCACACAGCAAAGCACTGCCCAGCCTGCGACAAGCTTGTTGCACGCGTAGCAACAGATCATACAAAGCATATGCAACAACGTTGAAAGCGGTCGCTGGTTGGTCGAAAGAAAGAAAGAAAACGGACAACCCAAGGGAGGGATGGGAGGACGGCACGCCGCCACCACACAGGGATTTCAAGGAGAGGGGTGTGATGCGCTAGCCGTCGCCCGCCCTTGGGCGTCCGCCTCTTCCTATCTCTCTTCGCAGTCTCTCGCCGATTCTCGCTGCAACCTTCATGCCACCTCGCGGTCGTCCCACTCTCGTCGTTCTCTCCCTTGTCGCTTCTTCCTCTGTCGCGTCGCTCTCCTCTGCCTCGTTCTGCGACGCCGCCGCCGCCTGCCGATCCCTTGTTCTCGCGGCTTCAGTTCTTTCGCCTTTCGGCGCAACTCCGCCCTCCTCGCGGCATATTTTGGCCCCTCGAGTTTATCGAGCTCTCCTCGCGCAAGGACGACTCTTCTGACGCCCACTGCGATCATTTCACATTTGAGAGAGAGAGAGAGAGAGAGAGAGAGAGATTTGAAGACCAACATTTGCCGCCAACCAAGTCATGTCGTTGCTCAGGTCCACTCTCTCTTCGAACACTTGTGCCTCCACAGATGGTGCTGGCGCTGGGGCCCCCTTCGGGTGCATCGTGACGATCACCACAGGTGTTGGTCGCGCTGAATTCAAATCTAAAGATATAAGGGCCTCGCGTTGTCCGCCGTTTATCCCCGTGACCTGCGCAATTCGTGATACCGAGGAGTCTCGAGCTTCAGCTGGTCCTACCATCATGCCGCTCTCGGAACCGCAGCGGCGCGAGCGCCGCGCCGCGCAGCGCGCTGCCGAGGCTCAGGACGCGGCTCGCGGGCAGCGCAACCGCCCGGCGCCGAGCCGGTGCTAGGCCGCCTCCGCTGCGCCTGCTTCCTTGCGCGCCGCTGGACGTCGGCCGAGAAGACCGCTTCCCTCTGGGGACCCGACTCCGCGAAGATCGCGCGCGCGTCGTGAGTGGCGGCGCGCGCGCGATCTCCGTTCCCGGCCACGCCGGTCGCAGTGGCATGGGCTCCCAGGCTCAAAAGCGCTCCCGTCAACAGCGAGCGAGCGCCGCCGCTGCTCCTCCTCCCGCCGCCGCTCCGCTCACCGAGACAAACTCGGTGCCGCCGTTCTCGCCGCCGCCGCCACCGCCGCCGCCTCGCCCCTCGCCTCCGTCACCGCCGCCCTCCATCTCGCGGCGGCGTCCCTCTGATGGCGCGGGCGCCTCGCTCACCGGCGCCTCGCCGCCGCCCCCCCCCTTCTCGCGCCGCTCCGCTCGAGCGTGGCCGCCGCCTCCCCTGTCAATCCCGCCGCCTCCCCTGTCATCCCGCCGCCCGCACCACCGCCGCCACCGCCTCGCGCCTCGCCGCCGCCGCCACCGACCGCCCTCTCCCCTACGCCGCTGAGCGCGCCGCGGTGCAGGGGGCGAGCCCCCGCTGCGCAGCCTCACCGCAGTGCACTGCGCTCTCCGCGCCCCTGACGATTAGTTGGTGTTGCACAGCATGGAGCTCGGCGAGCGTTTAGCGAGCCCCTCAGCTAGTTCTTTAAAGAGTCATCAGGGAGAGAGTTTGACGAAGGGCGTTGATGGCGCATGTCAATGCAGTGGACCTGTCAGCGGGTATGTTGTTGCAGCTTCCCGCGGACATCCAGCGCCTCATCTTCAAGCAGCCCTGTCTCGGCTCGCGCGAGCTGAGCAGCCTGGAGGCGACGAGCCGCGCTGTGCGCTCGCTCGTCGACGAGGACGTGTGGCGTCAGGCGCTCTTGCGAACTGCGCTCCGGGTGCGGGGGTGGGCGCTGTGCGATCGCGCCCTGCTTGGCGTGAGAGTCTGCGCCCTACGTGCCGCAACGCGTGGCATAGAACGCTCAGTCGGTCCGGTTGATGGCCGTCGGGCGCACGGCGGCCGGCGCAAGACTGGCGTTGCGAGGGCGCGGGTTACAGGCGGCGCACCCTTCCTGCCTTATCTTGCGGCGCCTGCCCAGCTCGCCGCCGCGCTCACCGCTCATGCGCCATCCGCGGCCGCGTCGGAGGCTGGCGAGAACGAGGAGGAGGACGTGGGCCACTTTTCACTCGGCGCCGCCTCTCTGCAGTGCCTGAGGGTGAGGGGCCACGAGGTGCGATACGTGGGGACGGCGCTCGGCGGGGACCGCGCGGTGCGAGGCGGCCTGCCGCTGCCACAGCATCGGCACATGTCCCTCCGAGCGGTGTCGCCGCAGCGGCTTGTGGCGGACGAGGTCTTGGTGGCTTACTTTGAGGTTACGATCTGGCCGCGCGGCGGCGGTGCGGCTGAGCCGGAGTGGCTGCCGCAGAGCGACTGCGTTGCCGTTGGCCTCGGCTCGCGCGACTTCCCTCTCGATGGCAGGCGAGGCGGTGGACTGCGAGAGGGGAGAGTGGGGACACGCAGTGGGCGCCGGTGGCCACCGGCTGAGTGAGGCACTCGCGATCTCGCCCGCATCTCGACTCGCATCTCACCCACATCTCGCCCGCATCTCGACTCGCATCTCACCCACATCTCGCCCACGCCTCGATCTCGACTCATCTCTCGACTCATCTCTCGACCCATTCACGCCACCCGCAGGCAGCCGGGGTGGGACAGCGCGTCCTTTGGCTACCACTCCGACGACGGACAGGCCTTCCACGGCCATGGCGCCTCCGGCCGGCCCCTCGGCCCCGCCTGCTCGCCCGGAGACGTTGTGGGCGCGGGCTACTCGCTGCTCTCCCGCCGCGTCTTCTTTAGTCGCAACGGCGTCTTCCTCGGAGCGCCATACGTCGCGCCGGCGCAGCTGATGCCGCTCTACCCCCTCGTCGGGCTCGACTCGCGCGCGCCGGTCGAGTTCAACTTCGGCGCGTCTCCGTTTGCGCTGGACACGGCTTCGCTGCCGCCCTCACTGCACCGGCCGGCCACCTCCAAGCTTTCCCGCGTCACCAGCCTCGAGGCGGCCGTGCGGTCGGCACTGGCTTGCGTGGTGCCGGCGTGGGGCCCGGCCGGCTGACTGAGGCCGCGTGCGGTGTGTTTAGCGGTCTGGCCCCTTGCGTGTGTCTGTGTCCGTGTCGCTTGTGATCCCCGTGGCACCCCTCATCGCGCTTGTGTCCGTGTGCACCCGTGCGCCGCGCGTGCGGCGTGGCCCCGTTCGGCTGCGTCGAGACGGCCCACTGACCCGTTGCGCGTAGGCAGGGCGCCAGCGCGCCACTTCCGAGCTCTCCCCGTCCCCCCGTCATGCGCTCATGCCCCCCGTGCATGTTATGTGCATGTGCATGTCTCCGAGTACTCACCTCCGCATGTGTCTCGTTCGATGTCAAGTGCGAAATGGCCCCCGTCGTGCGGCCTGGCCCCTAGTGGTGTGTGCACCTCTGGTACTCGTTCCGCGTACTTGGTAGTTCTGGTTCTCCGCGCCCCGGTGCCCGGTCCCGTGTGCGGTACTGTGTGGTGTGTTTGCAGGGCAAGGTGTCTGCGTGATGGTTCACAGTTCACGAGTTCAGCCGGCAGGGTCTCAGCACTCAGGAGCGCTTTCCTCAGTGTTCGGTGTGTTCCGCTTTCAGCTACACCTACGACCTAGAGCTAGACAGCTCGTGAACGTGGTTCACGCCTTCACCCCGCCCTCCCCGGGCGCCGGGAAGTGCGCCGGGGACCCCGGTCCCCGCCCGCCGCGCGGCCCCCGGTGAGCGGTGTTGTATTACCAATTAATTACGCGCTCGTTAACCGCGGCGTTATACTTATAGATCGTTCACTCACCTGTTTCCGACACTCCGTCCAATAAAACTCCACACACAAACGACTCACAGACGGCCCCCCTCTCACAGCTAATCGGGGTGCCGCGCCCCGCGCGGGTGTGTATTTTCGAGTGTGCCACCTGCTTCGCGCCACGAAACGCAAACGACGACAGCGACGCCGGCGCGCGGCGCCCTGCCTGCTCCTCCCAATGCCAAAGCTCGCTGTGGAGCCAGCGCCGACGGCGCGGTCACATGCCGCGGTGGAGCCCTCATGCACCCACCGCCCGAAGCTTCCTCTTCTTCCTCCCGCGCTTGCCGCGGCCGCGCAGCGCCTCCGCCCTGATCTTCTCGATCTTGTGCAGATGCGCCGCCGTCACGCGTTCCACATACGCGCCCCCTTCCGCCGCCCGCTGCGCCGCGGCGCGCTCGGCGTAGGCTGCCCGCCGCTCCGCGCGCTCCGCCACCGCCCGCTCGCCTTCTAACCGCAGGGCTTTGGCCTTGGCCGCGGCGCAAACGGTCGTTGCGGACGGGAGCGGCGGCGGCGGGGCGGCCGCCGGCTGGGCGGCCGCCGGCGGGGCGGCGTCGACTTCGGCGATGGCGGCGGGCTCGACGCCGACGCCAAACTCCGGCACACGCGCGACGGCCGCCTTGAAGAAGAACTTGTAGCGCAGCTCCTTGAAGCGCCGCTCCGAGGCGGACCTGAGAGTCGACGCGTGGAGGGGAGGCGGTGGAGAAGGAGGCGGTGGGGTGGGAGGCCGTGGCGCGTGTGGGGGGGGGGGGGGGAAGGGGGGGGGCCAAAAAAGGGGGCGGCGGCAAAAGGGGCGGCCAGGGAAAAAACTGGGGAAACGGCCGCGGGGGGGAGGATGATGGTGGTAGGAGGGGGAACGGCGATGGAGGCGGTGGAGGTGGCGGGGGGGCGAGGGGGGTCACTGACACGTCGCGTCACCGACACGTCGTGGGCGCGCCGTGGGCGTGGGCGACGCTCGTGAGTGTGACGTTATCGGTGGAGGATCGACGTAGCTGGCAGTGGCCTGGGCGGCGGTGCGTGGCGGGCACGAGCGGAGGTGTGTCTGGGAGGTGCTGCGCACAGCGCTGCCGACTCGTCGCGCGACGCCGCGGCCGCCTTCTCCTTCTCCTCGGCGGCGGCGGCGGCGGCGGCGTCCAGCTTCTCGCGCAGGGAGCCTGTGGGGCGGGGGTGCCAGGCCGAGTGGCGCGCGGGGAGAAGCGCGAGGCGAGGCGTGTCGCGGACCCACTAGGTGTCGTGGAATCGCGGGAGTCTTGCTGTGAGGCGTGCGCGCGGCGCGGGCGGCTGGCACGGAAGGGTAGGGGCGAGGGTGCGGTGCGGGGGGAGGAGCGTGGCCGACCACACAGCGGCGCTGGAAGCGAAAGGGGGGGGGGTGGGGGATGGAGAGGGCGCGTGTGGTGAGGGGACGCGGCGCCGACGGCGGCGAGGGCTACGACGGCGGCGAGGGCTACGACGGCGAGGGGGGCGAGGGGGGGCGAGGCGCGCCTGAGAAGGCCAGGTCGACAATGCCCGGCGCCTCCGCCTTGGGCCCCTCGTGGCAGCCGCCGACGAACTCGCCTAGGGAAGGCGTCACGGACGCGTCGCTTGCTCACCCCCGCCCCTGCTCCCCCTCCGGCCGCTGCGGTTGGCTTCGCTCGTCTAGCGTATAGGTACTCTCGAGGGTGGAGGGGAAGACGTAGGGCTGCATGCGCGCCTTCCAACCGAGGCCCCTCCACCCTCACTACTCGCTGCCTACTCGCTGCCTCGAGGGAGGGGGGGAAGAAGCCAGGTTGAGCTGGACTCGCCAGGCCGAGGCCCCTCCCCGAAAGGCAGCCCCCGAGGAGCTCTCACGACTCCTGTCTCCCTCTCTTTAACGAGGCGATCTCTCCACATATCTCCCCATATCTCCCCATATCTCTACATATCTCGGACTCGATCTTCAACGAGGCGAGACATCTCTCCCCATATCTCCCCATATCTCCCCGTATCTCCCCGTATCTCCCCAGATCCGGTGTCAACACGCGCCGACCGGCTGACGACGCGAAGCTGGCGGAGATGCAGCGTGCGGCGCAGGCATCCCTCGCCGATCTCTCGCCGATCTCGATCTCTCCCCGATCTCGGCTAGATCTCGCCCCCGATCCAGACGGAGGGAAACGCGGCGCAGCCCGTGAGGCGATGCAGCTCGGCACGGCGCACGGCACCCTCCTGCGGGCGGCGGGCGGCGGGGGGCGGTGGTGAGGGACGCAACACAAGCCGTGTGCGAGCGAGGTGTGCGCTTCTGTGCGGCGTCGAGGCCCGCGCCTCGCTCTTTGGGTCAAGGTCGATGAGGCGCGGCTCTGCGCCGGCGAGGCGGAGGAGGCGCGCGGCCTGCGGGGAGCAGGGGGAGGAGCGCTGGGGAGCAGGGAATGTGTGTCGGCGGGTAAGGGCAGGTGCCCGCGCTTGACCGCGCACGTGCGGCGGGAGGCGGGCGGCGCGCGCCTTGCTGCTCTCCTCGCCGCTCTCGCAGGAAAACACGACGACCTGCGCCGAGCGCGCAAGCCGCGCCACGTCCTCGGCAGCCCCGGCGCGGTCGTACTCGCCCGCAGCTGCCTTGGCGACCCTGTCCTGTCGCACCTGCCTCTGGAACTCCGCCTGCAGCCGCCGCCGCGCCCTCGTCTCGGCGTCGCCTTCGCCCTTGCGCATCGGGTGCGGCCGCGCCGCGGCGAACCGGCTGGCGCCCGTTCCAAAGTTTTGCGGCTGCCCGATGGCGTTGAAGGGGGCCGCCAGGCTGCCCGGCGAGTAGGGGGCGGGGCGGGAGGCCAGGGCGAGCAGCAAGGCGGGCTGGACGCTGATCATCTGAAGCGATCACACCGCGCCTTCGAAGGTCGAGGAAGGACCCTGCTGCCGGGCGGCAGTACTCGCCTCGCAAGGCGCGCACCGGCTGCTCTGGCTGCTGCGCCGGCGGCCGCTGCGCTGGCCGCTGCTGCGCCGGCTGGCGGGCGGTACGGCCGCCGGCGGCCGCTGCACCCGCGCCTTCCCTCGCGGGCGCCGTCGCGCCGCGCGCGCCCAACTCTGCTGGCACGACACGGCACGCGTCGTCACACAGCCGCGGAGAACAGGCGGTGCTGTGCGTGAAGCGCGCGCGATCTCGTACGTTTAAGGCTGGATCCGGCCATTCCAAGGGTATACCTTTGAGAATCCCCAGCGTCCCACCCTCCCTAGTCACACTCTCAATATCTCGACTCTCCAACACGAAGTGCTGCGATTGGTGGTGGCCCATTTCTTTTTTCCTTTCTTTTTTTGGGTCCTGACTCCTGTGGGCACCCTAGAAGCACACCCAGCGGGCCGGATGATTGGCATCGGGTTGCGGGCTAGAGAGCCCTAGCCCTGGGGGGGTGCGCGTTCGCAGGGAAAGGGCCGTAAAGTAAACACGGTCTCCGAGGGTTGGCTCTGCGCTTTGGCTTTCCCCTAGCTGCGGAACGCCCCCTCTACTCGGAGCTAATATTAAATAGAACCCCCCGCCCCGAGCCACGAGAGGCCTCCCTACCCCCACTCCAGTGTCCAGGGCTCCTCCCACCCCTCGGTCCTCTTGATTTTACACTCGTTTCACAGCATTTTTCGAAGAAACTTCTCCATTAACATTCGTATATGACCCCCTAAAACATCCTGGAGATATATCTACTCTATTTATTTATTTATTTACCCCCTAAAACACCCTTACTTATCCCTAATTTATAACTTAACCCCATTTTTCTTCATCTCTACATCTCTTTTAAATATTCACCTCAGACGTACATGAACCACTGCTCGACGGGCTCTACCACGACACGCATTCCCTATAGTCTAGTTGGTTAGGATATTCGGCTCTCACCCGAAAGACCAGGGTTCGAGTCCCTGTGGGGAAATCCTCCTTTTGCGCTGTGTTCCGTCTTCTTTTCCGGTGCGCCAGCCCGAATCCCTTTTCCGCCACCGTCAGCCGCTCCAGCTCCACTCCTCCTTCTGCCAATCTTCTTCTGCAGGCGGCGGCCTCTTCCGCAGGAGGAGGCGCTGCAGGCTCCTCCTCAGCGCCGTGCCGCCGCAGCATCGCACGACCACCGCCCTTCCACCCAAACAGCTCGAATCCAGCAGCAGGAGCCAGAGAGAGAGTTAGAGTCTCCGGCCTCGCGTCGTGAAGTAGCTGTGTTGGCGCTGTCTGCGAACCGCGCCACCGCGCTTTCGTTGGATGACAAAGCGCAAGGCGCGCGCTACCGTCCCGGGGGGCGCTCGCATGGATCTCAAGGGCGGCAAGCCGGGCGCGCTCGTCGGCCGGCGCCTCACCGTCAAGTACCAGGAGGATGAGGGCGCCCCCGCGGTACCGTACCTCGGCGTCGTGACGTGGACAGAGCCCGGCCGGCTGTACGCCTGCTTCGATGGCTTTGACGAGGCGGACGGCGCGTGGGTAGACGACTCGGACGAGTGGGGTTGGAGCCCGGCCGCGCAGCCAGCGCCCGACCCGCCGGGTGCGTGGACGCCGGGAGAGCCCGCGCCGCCGATCGACAAGATCTTCCTCTCGCGAGAGTGCAAGCCGGCTGCCGGCGCGGTGCCCGCGGCCGGCGTGCCGCCCGACGCGGCGGAGCCGCCGCCCGCGCGACACGACGAGCTGCTCGTCAAGTGGAAGGGGCTCGCCCACGTGCACTGCCAGTGGGTTCCGCGCGCCGCGCTGGAGGCGGAGCACTCGAACAAGCAGCGCGTGCAGCGGTGGGTGCGGGCGCACTCGAGTGGGGAAGCGGTGGAAAACACGTGGGGCCTGGACGGCGACGATGCGGCGGCGGGCGCCAAGGACGACGAGCTCGGCTACAACGCCGACTTCAACCTCGTCGAGCGCATCGTTGCGAGCGAGGCGGCCGATGAGGCGCCGCCGCGCTTCCTGGTCAAGTGGCGCGGGCTGCCTTATGCGAGCTGCACGTGGGAGGGCCCTCGCACTCTCCTCGAGGAGCAGCGGGCTATCCTCGCGTGGCAGGCGCGCGAGCAGCCGCCGCCGCCGCGCGAGCTGCGCGTCGCGACGACGCGCTCCCGGCCGCCGCGCTCCGCCTTCGTCAAGCTGACGGAGTCGCCGGTCTTCAAGGACGGCCGCCGGCTCCGGCCGTACCAGCTCGAGGGGCTGAACTGGCTGCTCTTCTCGTGGTACGCGCGCCGCTCTGTGATGCTCGCCGACGAGATGGGGCTGGGCAAGACCATCCAGTCCATCTCCACGCTGCACCACCTGTGGACACACGAGCACGTACGCGGGCCGTTCCTCGTCGTCGCGCCGCTCTCGACGCTCGCGCACTGGAAGCGAGAGTTTGACGAGTGGACCGAGATGAACGCAGTCGTCTACCACGGCACAGCCGAGTCGCGCGAGGTGCTCCGGACGCACGAGTGGCGCTTTGCAGACGGCGGCGCAGCCGGCTCCAAAGACTCGAGGGACGAGCACGAGCCCGCGCTGTACAAGTTCCACGCCCTGGTCACGTCGTACGAGGTGATCAAGCAGGACCTCTCCTTGCTCAAGGCGGTGCCGTGGCGCTACATGGTCATCGACGAGGCGCACCGCCTCAAGAACCGCGACTCGGCCCTCGCCACGGACCTGCGCGCGCTGCGCGTGGAGCACATGCACCTGCTCTCCGGCACGCCGCTGCAAAACAACACGACGGAGCTGTGGGCGCTGCTCACCTTCCTCGACCCCGACCTCTTCCCCTCGCTGCCCGCCTTTCTGGAGGAGTTTGGCACGCTCACCGACGCGGCGCAGGTCGAGCGGCTCAACACTCGCATCCGGCCGTACCTGCTGCGCCGGCAGAAGAATGACGTCGAGAAGTCGCTCACGCCGCTCGAGGAGACCATCGTGTGGGTCGAGATGACGCTCTTCCAGAAGCGGACCTACCGCGCCATCCTCGAGGGCGAGCGCGAGCTCCTCGTCGGCGGCGTCACCGGCGCGGCGCTACCCTCGCTGGTCAACTTGCAGATGGAGCTGCGCAAGTGCTGCAACCACCCCTACTTGATCAAGGGCGTCGAGGCGCACGCGTCGGACCAGTTGCGCGCGGCGGAGGGGGAGGCGGCCTCCTCGGACGGCGGCGGCGCAGCGGCGGTCAACGAGTTCCTCGCCGCGTCGGGCAAGTGTGTGCTCCTCGACAAGCTTCTGCCCAAGCTGCGGCGCGAGGGGCACCGCGTGCTGATCTTTTCGCAGATGGTGGGAGATGAGATGCTGTCTCCGCTCACGCCGCCACCCGACCGTGAATCGTTGCCCAACATTGTTGTGGGCTGCACACTCCCTGCTGGCGTGCGCATGCTCACCTCCTCTCTGGCTGCCTCACCCCGAGATCGCGCGAGATCACCCCGGAGATATCAACGCCCCCGAGGCCGCGCGAGCCCCCCCCCCCCCCTCCCCCTCCCCCAACGCACAGGTGCGCATGCTCGACATCCTCTCGGACTACCTGCTCGAGCGGCGCTACTCGCACGAGCGGCTCGACGGGACGATCCGCGGCGACCTTCGCCAGGCCGCCATCGACCGCTTCTGCCGCCCCGACTCGGACACCTTTATCTTCCTCCTCTCGACGCGCGCGGGCGGACTCGGGATCAACCTGACCGCCGCCGACACCTGCATCCTGATGGACTCGGACTGGAACCCGCAGAACGACGTGCAGGCGATGGCCCGCTCGCACCGGATCGGGCAGACCAAGCGCGTCAAGGTCTTTCGCCTCGTGACGCGCAACACTTACGAGGCGGAGATGGTGGAGCGCGCCAACCGCAAGCTCGGCCTCGAGCGCGCCATGAACGCCGACCGCGCCGCCGACGGCTTGCCCGACGGGCGCGGCGGCGCAAAGCCGGCCGGGCCGACGCAGGACCGCGCGGAGATCGACGCGATGCTGAAGCGGGGCGCGTACAACATCTTCATGGAGGACGGCGGCGACGGCGACGCGCGCTTCAAGCAGTTCTCCGAGGCCGACATCGACGAGATCCTCGAGTCCTCCTCCACCAAGGTGACGTACGGCGGCGAGGACTCCGGCTCGGGCTCCGTCTTCTCCAAGGCGGCCTTCATCGCCGACGACAATGAGCTGGCGCGCGATTCTCGGCGTACCTCGGGTGTGATCTCGGCGGATCTCGGGTGTGTCATCTCGGACAGCGGCGCCGCGGGGGAGTACGGACAGCGAGGAGTGGGAGGGGAGTGGGAGGGCCGTGTGAGGGCAAAGGCGCAGCGGCCGCCGGAGGCCCGCCGCAGTCTCCCCGGCCGACACATCCTGACAGGCTTTCAGCTCGGGCGGCAGTTGCCGCCGGCGCATGCGTTCGTTATCGCGACCCCCAACTCTCTCTCGCCCCCGCCCCCCGCCCCACTCTTCCAGGACATGGACGACCCCGAGTTCTGGACCAAGATCCTGCCCGAGCTCGAGAAGAAGGACCCCGCGCTCGCCGAGTACTTCCTCAAGCGGCAGACCAAGCAGGTCAAGCGCTTTGGCATGGCGGAGGACCCTAGAAGCGGGACGCGTAGTCGCGTAGTCGCTGTATCGTCTCTTCTCGTATTCCGCTACACTCGGCCGTCTTCGGCTGCATTCGGCTGGATTCGCTGCCCTCGTACCCCTCGTACTCACAAAGTGCTCTGAGTAGACGCTGCACGACACCGCCTTCCCGCCCCGATGTTCGTGTATTCACAGGCGGACGACGGCGAGCTCGACGACGACGAACTCGACTTTCTCTCGCGGCGCGGCGGCCGCGCCTACAAGTCGGGCCGCGGGCGCGACGACGACGACGCGCGCCGCGCGGCACGGCGCGCGCTCGCGCACGTCTGGTCGAAGACGGAGCGGATGAACTGCGAGCGCGCGCTCCTGTCGTTCGGCTTTGGCGAGATCTAGCCGAGATCTAGCCGAGATTTAG